CAAACTTGTAGATCAGTGAAACTGATTAAAGCCTCCAGAAATCAACCCACACATCTCCAACCAACTTATCTTTGGCAAAGGTGCTAAAATCAATCCCTGAGCAAGGACAGTCTCTTAAACAAATCTCACTGGGAAAACTAGATCACTTGCTTTTAGCAAGACCCCTACCTTAGACCTTATACAAAAATCCACTCAAATTGGATTAAAGACCTGAATCTACAATCTGATACCATCAAATTATTAGAGAACGTTGGGGAAACCCTGCAAGACATTGACATAGACAGTTCTTATTTTAAAAAAGAAAAAAAAAAAAAGGCACAGGCAGTGAAAGCCAAAATTGACACATGGGATTACATCAAACTGAGAAGCTTATGCACTACAATAAATAAATAAATCCTCAGCAAAGTGAAGAGAAAACTGACAGAATGGAAGAAGTTAATTGCAAACTATGCTACTGGTAAAGGATTAATAACCAGAATATGCACAAAGACCAAGAAACTCAACAACAAAACAGCACAGTTAAGAAATGGGCAAAGGACTTGAACAGGCATTTTTCAGAAGAGTAAATCTAGGTGGCCAACAGACACATGAAAAAATGCTCAGGATCACTAGCCACCAGAGAAATGCAAATCAAAACCACAATAAGGTTTCACCTCAGCCATGTTAGAATGGCTTTCATGCAGAAATCAACAAATAACAAATGTTGGCAAGGATGTTTGGGAAAAAGTTTCCCTAATCTGCTGTTGGGGGGGAATGTAAACTGGTACAACCACTGTGGAAGACAGTATGGAGATACCTCAGAAGTCAAAATAGAGACCTTCCATATGACTCAGCCATCCCATTCCTGGGCATTTACCCAACTGAAATGAAAGAGTTATCTGTACCCCCCATGTTTATTGCACTTCAGGTCATAATAGCTGAGATATGGAATCAAACCAAAGGCCCATCACTTAAGATTGGATAAAGAAATTATGGGGGCCAGTGCTGTGGCATAGCAGGTTAAGCTGCTGTCTGCAATGTCGGCATCCCATATGGGTGCCGGTTCGAGACCTGGCTGCTCCACTTCTGATCCAGCTCTCTGCTATGGCCTGGGAAAGCAACAGAAGATGGTCCAAATCCTTGGGCCCCTGCACCCGTGTGGGAGACCCGGAAGAAACTCCTGGTTCCTGGCTTCGGATCAACACAGCTTCGGCCGGCCGTTGCAGCCAACTGGGGAATGAACCAGCGGATGGAAGACCTCTCTCTCTCTCTCTCTCTCTCTGCGCCTCTGCCTCTGCCTCTCTCTCTCTCTCTGCCTCTCCTCTCTCTGTGTAATTGTGACTTTCAAATAAAATAAGTCTTTTAACTCTACCATTTGGGGCAAGTCAGCTTGAGCATGTCCCAAATTGTACATCTCTTCCCTCTCTTATCCCCACTCTTATGTTTAACAGGGATCACATTTCAGTTAAATTTCAACACTTAAGAATAACTGTGTATTAATTACAGAATTAAACCAGTCATATTAAGTAGAGCAGACAAAAAAAAACTACTAAGAGGGATAATGTATTAAGTTGTTCATTAACAGTCAGGGCTATGCTGATCAAGTCACCATTTCTCATAGTGTCGATTTCACTTCAACAGGTTTCCTTTTTGGTTTTCAGTCAGTTGTCACCATACCAGGGGACTCCAATTTAATCCCATCAAGGTGGCATGTACCAATGCCACCTAACTAGTCCAAGTGATCAATTTCAGTTCACAATTGATCAAAATGAAAGGACTAAGAGTCAAAGGGAGCACATAAACAAGTCTAGTACCTTCTAATACTAACCGATAGAATAAATAAAGGGGAGAGTGATCCAACATGGGAAGCGAGATACTCAGCAGACTCATAGAATGGCGGATGTCCTAAACAGCACTCTGGCCTCAGAATCAGCCCTAAAGGCATTCCGATCTGGCTGAAAAGCCCATGAGAGTATTTCAGGCATGGAAAGCCAAGACACTCTGGCAAAAAAAAAAAAAAAAAAAACCTAAATGAAAGATCTCAGTGAGATCCCAGTGGAAAGAACAGGTCTTCAAAGAAGGAGGTACCTTTCTCTGAAGGGAGGAGAGAACCTCCACTTTGACTATGACCTTGTCTAAACAAGATAAGAGTCGGAGAACTCAGAGGGCTTCCATAGCCCTGGAAACTCATGACTGTAGCATAGGGAGATTACTGATGCCATAGATAGGAGTGTCAATTTGTAAAGTCAACAACAGGAGTCACTGTGCACTTACTCCTCATGTGGGATCTCTGTCCTTAATGTGCTGTACATTGAGGCTTAATGCTATAACGAGTACTCAAACAGTATATTTCACTTTGTGTTTCTATGGGGGTGCAAACTGTTGAAATCTTTACTTAATGTATACTAAACTGATCTTCTGTTAAAAAAAAAAAAAGAAAAAGAAATTATCAATTTCCAACTTGACTCTCACTGGGATTAAACATGACAATAGGTCTGATCTGATTTCATCATCATCTAAAAAAAATCATCTATTAATTTTCACTTTATGTTTCTGTGTGGGAGCAAACTGTTGAAATCCTTACTTAATGTATACTAAGCTGATCTTCTGTATATTAAGATAATCGAAAATGAATCTTGATGTGAATGGAAGGGGAGAGGGAGTGGGAGAGGGGAGGGTTGTGGGTGGGAGGGACGGTATGGGGGGGAAGCCATTGTAATCCATAAGTCATACTTTGGAAATTTATATTCATTAAATAAAAGTTTTAAAAAAATAAGTCTTTTAAAAAATTATGGGATATGTACTCCATGGAATACTACACAGCAGTAAAAGAAAATGAAATCCTGTTATTTGCAACCAAATGGATGAAACTGGAAGATATCATACTTAGTGAAATAAATCAGTCCCAAAAGAGCAAATACCATATGTTCTCTCTGATCTGTAATACTAATAGGACACCTAAAAGGTAATCTATAAAAGTGAAATTGACACTTGGAGATACAACGATTTTGAACAGCCCCTGTCTCAGCTGTTGAGGAGCAGGGTTTTTTTTTATATACAATTGTTAGACTCTTTATGTAGTATAAACATATGTGTATAAAGTTAATTGAAAATAGATATTAGTAAAATATAAGGATGAGAACAGGATTGGGAGGAGGAAGGTGGGAGGGTAGGTACGGTGATAAGAATCACTGTGTTCTTAAAGTTGTATTTATGAAATGCATGAAGTTTGTATTCCTTAAATAAAAGGTTTCTGGGGCAAAATACTTATGAAAACAATTTAAAAATAATTTTTTTGGTACAAAAGAAGTCTTCCCCCAAATCTGGTTCCACTCTTTATGGAGCACTTTTTGCCACCTAGCTGACAAGCCAAAATCTTGAAAGTCGTTTTCAGTGCAAGTTTTCTTACCTTCCACACTGAGTTCAATACCACATTCTGTTGATTCTACCTGCAGAGGTATCCCTCCTCTGGGCTTTGCTCTCTACTTTGCGTTCCCACATGCCAGCCCACAGTTTAGGCACAGAGGCCCCTTTGGCCCACCACAAAGTCCTCCCTGAATTCATTTAAAGTTACAGAAGAGATCTTGCTTTAAAATCCCTCCCTAAATCTCATTGTTCTTAGGATAAGATTTAGAAATTCTCATTGGGCTTAAGTGCTGCAACATCAGGCCTGCAGTCCTGGCCCACACCACTTTCCTCCCTCTGGCTGGAGTCCAGTAACAGTAGCATTCCTTACATTCCGAGATTTGCTGAGTGTTCAGGGTTTCTGCACAAGTTGTACCTTTTGAAGACCCCCTTCACCAAGTAAGCTCCCACTCACCCCCTCCCAACTCAAACCTCATTTCCTCCCATAGGCTCTATGCAGCCCCTAGACTGAATTAGACCCCACTTCCCCTCTTCCTGCACATGTTCTGTGCGTCTCCTTTATAGAAACTGGTAGTTGGTTTGATTTAGTTTGTCGGCTCTGTATCTGGCTCCCCCATTGTTCTTTTAGATCCACGAGGGTAGGAATCATTGTGGGTTTTCTTCTCACTGCCAGCCTCAGGCTGGACATGTGGTGGAAAGTCTGTAAATATTTGCAGAATGAGTAAAATAAATAGAAAATAAAAGCTAAAAACACACTGAAATACTGTGTTAAGGGATGTGCTGAAAACTTAAGGCTATAACTTGATAATATGGACATAAGTTTCTTAGTAGTTCATGACTAAACCAGATGTGCTGCTTTTCTGATATGTCCAATGTAAGTAGCATTACTAGAAAAGATAGCGGGCAACAGGAAAAACAAAAAATAATGTATTGATGACCACGGTTTGGTTCTGTTCCAGAGGCTGGGGCTCTGTGATGAGCTTACTTTCCCGTGGGGGCAGGTCGTACACAAGAACACAGGCAGTCTCAGATCTTGAAAGATGTGGTAGACTAAGGAGAACAGTAACAGCACAGAGAGGGTGGCTACAGGAGACTGATTTGAGTACATGCCATTGGAGCAGACACTGGGATGACAAGGAGTCGCCATCACTTGCGACCTGTGGGAAGAGCCTTCCAGGCCTAGGAGCAGCAAATGCAAAACACTGAGGCAGGCATCAGCCAGGCATGTCCAGGAAGCAGGGCTGGCCTGGGAGCACTGGACAAAGAGTGCAAACCTCTGGAGTCAGAGCTCTGACCCCTTCCCTTCCTTATTAGCCATTTATCCCAGAATGGAGACCATGCTGATGTCTGTTTCATAGGGCTTTTGTTTTGCTGAATAAAATTATGCACACAAATAGTAACAGTGATAGACATCATTGGTAACTTAAACAGAATCCATAGCTACCCTGTAGGATTCATGAGAAGGAAAAACTGGCAAACTGGATATAACTTACACTAATGGATAGTGTTTATATGATTATTAGCTTATTTTCTTTTAGGAGGCCAGTGCCTTATCTATTAGGCTACCGGGGCTTCTTAACTTTTTTTCTTTTAAAACAATGTGCTGTGTTGCAGTTTATAAATGTTAATTAATTTCCATTAATTTCTTACAAAAGGTTAAAAAGCTGAAGAGAGAACTCTCACAGATGAAGCAAGAGCTGCTCTATAAAGAACAAGGCTTTGAAACGTTACAACAGTGAGTATAAAATCCTGAAATTGACTTTAGCATGAGTCAGAGTTCCCTAATACAAAGAAAATAGAGGTTCTCAATGAAACAGTGAAAAACTCAAAACTACATCAGAAGTTAAAGAAAAAAAATCCACCACTACAAAAAGCTATACACTTTGAAAATGTTTGAAGTATTTATTAATCATTGGAGATCCAAAGAAAACAAAGTGAAATCCTGACTTGGCCCCCTGGAGGACGTGGAGTGGAGCTGGAGAGCTAGCCTGGGAGGTGCCTGTTCACATTCTGTCCTGGAGATTGCACCCGGTGGGCTGCACTCGACCCCGGGGAGCCCGCAGCGGCCGAGCCCTTGGGTGGAGGCATCTGTCTGCCTATGTGCTCCCTGAGGCGCTGTCCGCTGATCTCAGGGGAGCAAGAACAAGGCAGGTGTCAGCAAAGGAGTGTGAGTGTGCTCCTCGCTTCCTGGCTCCCTTCTCTCCTGGCCAGGTCGCTGCTGAAGTCTGAGGGGCCACTAGCATAGCCTCGGGCTGGGTCTGCGTGAAATGGAGACAGCAGAGGCCAATGGATTGGGAAAGCTGTGCCCCGTTCCTAGCCCCTGAAAACCCCTGCTCTGCCTGCTAGCCAAATGGTGAGAGGCACAGGTACACTACCCAGGCCCCCACGCCCACCTCACAGCGCCTCTCGTGGAGGGGACGAATCCTGTGGTCTTCACCACTCAATCACTCCAGGAAGGCACGCGGCTGCTCTGGCGCTGAAGTGCGGGATTGCCAGGGCTTTCCCCGGTGGGTTTTGTGTTCATGCACTTTCATATTCTTCCCGGCCGCACCTCAGAAATGCCAAGCTGCGCTCAGGAGCCACGTCCCTGTGAAGCACCCAGCTCCGTTCCCTCTCCCTGTGAAGTCCTGCTCTGCTTTCTGCTCTTAGAATATGTGGGACAACCCCAGGCAGCAGGCTCCACCTCATGAAAGACCTTACGTGTCCGTGGCTGGGCCTGCACAGGCTGCTTGCTCTGTGTGTTTAGATGCCATGCTGTGCCCTGGGACACCCCGTCAGGCCCCTGGCCTTGAGTTTCAGACACTTGCTTTGATACTTTAGCCTTCCCTTTCTGCTTGCTCTCCTGTGCAATTGTGACCCCGTTGTTCTTTCAGGTCTTCCTCTCCTGGTGGTTCTCAAACCTGGACATCACATTAGAATAATCTGGGGGAGTCCTTAAAAAACAAACACAACTGCCTCTGCTCTCCACCCAGGTCTCTTTTATGAGCTCGCAGGTGGTTCTCAAGTGTCCCCAGGAGCTATGCTGGCCCCAGAGCTCTGCTAATGGCCCAGCACACCCGGAGTGACATAGATGTGCTGTTTAGTAATTGGGTGTCAACAATAAGCAGGCCTTTGTGGTGGGGCGTAGGTTAAGAAAACAGACTTTGAAGACGTCCACAAAATGTTCAGCCATACGTTAAACGTTTTCAAGGCACATGAAATTATAACACATGTCACCACCCAGGATTAAAGGTTAGCCAAACTTGCTGTTTTTGTTACACTGATGTAACAATGCCTTATTGTTTTAAAGCAGTTGCAATTTTTATAGGAATCTAAGGCATGTTTAAGAATCTGTCAATAACATTCCACAAGGAAACAATAGACATTTGTTGTATAAATTGGGGCGTTCTCTTCCAATGATTCTAATCCCTTGCATCAAGAACAGAAAGATACGAGATCTACATGAAGACCTCCCTGTTGATCATAATTGTAGACAAAATAAACCTGTTTTCATCCAAGTGTTGACCATTCTACTACCAAAACATGAAATGCTAACTGATTGAACCGGAGAGCAGACTTCTTAACAAACCACATTCCATGTGCTATAAAGGGACTTTTCATTTGTGGCTATGAGAGATGATACATTTCCGGAGAAGATTTAAATAGAATCTCATCTCAGGCTTTTTTAACTTTTCACTTTTTCACAATAGAATGAAATATTTTTGTAGAATTATAATGTAGTTTAAATTTGGGCTTTCATTTTACATAGTTTATGTTTGGCGAACAAATACAGTTTTGTTCTCTATGTTATTCATTTCAGTTTGTAATCCCAAATTTAACCTTGGCGTATGCAGTAGTGTAGCTTCTGTGTAGGGGGGTACTGGGAAGATGCACATTGCCATTTTGCCAACTCCAGTGTTTGCTCAAAATTGGAAAATGGGAAGTGGTGAAACTCTTAGCAAGCCAAGAGCATATATAGATTCTCTTAAGGTTTGGCTCTGGGGGTACACATTTCCCAGTGAAGGAACGCAAAATGAAAATCTCTTCCTCTTTTAGAAAAGACCTAGATATACAGTATATGCTAGAGAACACAAACAAGCCAAAAAGTATTTTAAAAATGTTTAGGGCAGAGAAGGTACAGTTAAAGTAAGAACCGAAAGTTCAGTGTTGGATTTTAAACAGCAGCAAGTGATGCCCATATTTTATTTTAGGGTCATTTGGGGTCAAAAGAGAGAAAAGGTAGGAAATGAAAAGTGGAGGAGAAAAAGGAGAAAGTTAGAAATAAAGGTAAGGCGCCGCGGTTCAATAGGCCAATCCTCCACCTTGCGGCGCCGGCACACTGGGTTCTAGTCCCGGTCAGGGCGCCAGATTCTGTCCCGGTTGCCCTTCTTCCAGGCCAGCTCTCTGCTGTGGCCAGGGAGTGCAGTGGAGGATGGCCCAAGTGCTTGGGCTCTGCACTCGCATGGGAGACCAGGAGAAGCACCTGGCTCCTGGCTTCGGATAAGCATGGTGCGCCGGCCGCAGCGTGGCGGCCATTGGAGGGTGAACCAATGGCAAAAGGAGACCTTTCTCTCTGTCTCTCTCTCTCACTGTCTACTCTACCTGTCAAAAAAAAAAAAGAAATGTAAAAAGATGTACTTACAGATATATTTATAGAGGCCCAATGGAGGCAAGAGGCAGGGAAGGAACAACCAAGAGGGTTCAGCACTATGAGTGCTGAACGGAGATAGCTTATTCTTCATTCTATAGAAAAGTGGATAGCCAACAAATTGTCATCTGAACCTCAAATTAGTAGCCATGAACTAGTCTTGCTTTTATTTTTAGATGCTAAAATTTATTTCAGATAGCTTACTTTTATTTTCAAATGATAAAGTTTATTTCTAAGTTAAAGGTTTGTTTTACATTAAATTCTGAAGATACATGAACAGGAAGAAAGTTACTTTAGAAATTCACTTTGGCAGTTATTGATATCTGTATTATTGGCTTTTTCATGAAGTCTCCCATTTTTCTTGTTTTTAACTTAAAAATGCTGCTTATGAAAATGCCTACATCCTATATTTCAGAACAGTAATTGTTTTACTTAATAAGCTTTTGCCACAACCAAGTTGGTAGATGTAGTACTGAGGGGAGCCAAAAATTTCATTGATAAATCCCTACCCAAATACATGGAATTAACCAATATTTAAAACACTTCACTGTCTCATTAAATATTTCAAATGTAATAGTCGTTAAGAGCCCCAAGCCTGAGTCTATCATCTTAGGATACTGTTTAACCTTTTTAGGGCCTGCATTTGAAAAAACTTCCTGGCTTTAGTTTCATTTAGAAAAAATACAACCAGGGGATCTCCAGAGTCCCTTTCCACCCCAAACACATTCTGTGTAAGAGTGTGTGTGAGATTTAAAAATCCTGTGACTTCCTGGATTTTATTAGCAGATAACCTGATCAACAAATTTATTTTCTTAGATTCTTTTAAGGTTTTAATTGCTTGTTCAGCAGGAAAAAAAATGATTACTAAATTAGTATTTGGAGAAATATTAGTGCATGATCTACAAACTGCACTTACTTGAGGATGTTTGTTTGGAAGACTTATTAGACTGATTTTTCCTTTTCAGATTACAGCTTTCACACTGAAATAAATATTAATTAAACGTTTAAGCCCTATAAGCTCTGAGTCCATTCTCTGGTTCATTAGGTGCCATTTGTCTGGCATGTCATTGGTTAAAACCAAGAATCAGCCTGAGAACATGTGACATTGTTGGCTGGAGGCAGAGGCACAGCCCTGTGCACCACAAGTAGAGTCCAGTTGTGGTCATCGTGACTCCTGGACAGCACATAGGTGGCTGGGGAGAGCCCCGACAGTGATGGTGACACAAATGTTAAATTTTCTTAAAATGAATTGGCTGTTTTGCTGGGCTACACAAAATCCATCTCATAGGTTGATGCTGTGAGCTCTGAGGGCATTGGGTAAACATTCAGTGTGAATTAATGAGTGAATACATCAGCACTTTTGCCTTTGCCCTAAATTTGAATGTGTTAGCAAGGCAAGCAATTGTATCTTGACTCATGAATTTAATAAAAATGGAATACTTTATATGCCAGTCCACATATTGTAGAATACACTAATACAAATAATGATTCATTTACTCACCATTTGCTAACTTGCATGCACAGTGCTAAGTGTTGCACAGGCATCACAGCATGTAAAACCAGGTGACAGGCGGTGGGCACTCCCATCTTTCTCCTGAAGCATTCACCCACGGCTTTTACTTTTCTCCAGATGGAGCGCAGGATCAACACTTGATGGATGAGGTTTGGGTTACGCCAGCAGTGGGATCATCCAGACACTGAAAAGCTATCATTATGTGAGCCTAAAAATGATTAGAAATGGACCAGGTCTGAGGTGGGAGCAGGGGAAGTCTTAGCTAGATATGATTAAAAAGAGAAACAGAGAGAAACAGCCTGGAAGGATGGCAGTGCTGTAGGAGAGTCCAGAAGTGGAATCATCAGCCAACGAAGACAGTCCAAGAATCCAGTTTCTGTTGTCCACTTAACTTGCTTTTGGTCATCTTTTGACTTTATTTTTTTTTCTGTTTTCTTTCTTTTTTTTTCTCTTTTAACAGAATTGATAAAAAAATGTCTGGAGGCCAGAGTGGATATGAACTTAATGAAGCCAAAGCCATTCTAACTGAACTGAAGTCTATCAGAAAGGCTATCAGTTCAGGAGAAAAAGAGAAACAAGATCTGATGCAGGTATGTTACAGAACATTGTGTGAAGTCAGGGAAGCAGCTTGGGAGGCCTGGGAAACTCTCCTTGAGGCAGAAGTTATGTGTCAGAGTTTGGATGGCCCTTCATCACATCCCTCCATTCATACAGAATTGGGCAACAGATTGTTACAGGCTGAGGCTGATTGCCTTAGAGAATAGATTGGTTCAAAGCTCCTAATAGGCTTTTAACATTTTTGTTTAAAAAAAAAAACAAAACAAAACTTTATTCTCATTTATTTGGATTCCATACAAACAGAGATCTTCCATCTGTGAGTTCACTTCCCAAATGCTGCAACAGCTGGGGCAGGGCCACATTGAAGCAAGGAACCAGGAACTGATTTCAGGTCTCCTATGTGAGTGACAGGCACGTGAGCCATCAGCTGTTGCTTCCCAGGGTGCATGTCAGCAGGAAGCTGGATGGGAAGTGGAAATGGGACTTGAGCTCTGAAATCAGATGTGGACATCCCAAGCAATGTCTCCACTTCTGTGTCAAATCCTCACCCCCTCCTCACCCCACACACCCAACTTAACTGAAGGTAGGCTTAGGATATCCTGTGTGTTTGTGGCTGGTAGATGCTGGAGCCCACATCTTGGTGCACCCTGAAACTCTCTGAAAACTTTATGTGGGACCTGGATAAGTGGGGTTCTCTATACCTGGGATTCTCAACCCGGGTTACACAGAGTGTCTGTCGTCTGCCATCAGTCTTTAGAGGGTTTGCCTTTTGGGTGTGAGACTATGTGAAAGTTTCTTTCTGACCCAGCTAATTCTGAGGTGCTAGCGAATGGTGGGGTGCGAAGTGTTGACTTGGCTGGGGAATGCCTGTGTGGTTTTCCTGGGAAAGTTGCTGATAGCATTAGACCCCTTGTTATATCTGTATAGTTCTCACCCTAAGATCTTAAGTCCCAAGGATCCAGCCTCATGTGTAGCACAAACAAAACAGACATTCAGTGGTGAGTATTTGGAATATCTGTACATACCAATATAGTTCAGTTTTTTTTTACAGGGGTCCCCCTCTTCTTCCCTTCCCTCCATCCCATAATTATCAGGAGTAATAAGATTCTTACTTCAGGTATTTGGAATTTTTTATCTAGCAGAGTGAGAACTTAGGCTGCATCTTTGGGGAAACGTTGAAGCCAGTGGTGATGTTTATATCATTTTTAGAACCTCTACATTTAAATATCGTATTCAGCTATTTCATGTTGACTTTCAAAATGTTAGTTGAACGTACATAAATAGTCTTGCATCCACAAGGTTTTCTGTTTTGAGAATGTTGAAATAAACTGCAAGAAAAAGTATAATAGAAAAGAGTAAAAATAATAGCAAATACTTGTAAGTACTGACTTTGTGCCAGACAGTTTTCTAACCACCTTGCATGTACATAGCTCACTGAATCCTCCTAGAAGCCCCTAGAGATAGGCACTCTTACTACCCTTAGTTTACATACAAACACATTGCAGCACGTACAGGTCAAATAAGCTACATGGAGTCCTGCAGCTGGGAAGTAGCAGGACTTGGATTCAGACCTGGGCAGCCCCTGGAATCTGTGGTTTTGATGTAGACATAACACATACGGGACTTATAAGTAATTGTTTTTGGTCCTGCTTATTAAACCAGTATTTCCTGAAATGCACATAATAGGTCCTTCTTCTAAAAGAAGTAAATGGACTTGAACAAATCTACATAGGAACTTTATAATTTAACAGTGTTGTATCATCCTAATTTCTCCTATAAAGTCTGGATTCACACACAGTCCAGGTTAAAAGATTAGATTCCTTTTTAATTATTGAATACACAAAATAAGTCATTAGTAGATACAGAAATCAGCAATAGGCCTGAAAGGGACAATTAGATTCTGTGACTATCAAGCCTCTTTGAACATAGTAAGAAAACTATGTTACATCAGACTGTAGTACACACACACACACACACACACACAAGTCACAGAAATATGCCTACTCTTAATATTGGTAGTGTACTTTAATTTCTGGTATTTCCTATTTCATTAAGAAACATACTAGTCACAACCTATTAAATTGAACGCTTTGTAATTAAGTGCACTATCATTGCAGGTAACATTGAAAAATACTGATGTTTTCACTTCACAGTTGTAAACATAGAAAACACTTGCCAAGGACACTGAGAGCTTTGTTTGTTTCTCTAATATGTTGTTGAATGTGAGCCTTTATGTCTATTCCTCTTGTATACACATATACATATTTTGAAAGAAAATAGTGGTTAGGTAAAAATAAATATTAGATCTTTGATATTTTTATTACAAAAATTTTTAACAATTAGGATTGACCGTTAGATGTTCTTGATGATTCATAGTGGCTTTGTACCGTTTTTATTAGTATTACTAATGTAGATTGTACTCTTTTTCTTTAACAGTTTAGATAAAATTCTCCATTTTTTTATACTTGCATCTGTTCACATTCTCCTACGGTAAACCCAGTATCTTAAACACGTAGCCTTTCTGTTACTCGCTTTACCAAACCAGACACACCACCCACCATACGCAGTGCCATGCCGTAGGCACACAGAGATTCTCAGCTGGGGCCTGTGCCACTCCTTCACAACTTCCAGGCCTCGGTTTCCTAATCCTTAACATTGACGTAAGGGGAATAACCTCTTGGGCCCTGTCCAGATGGAAAGTGGCATAACAGTGGAAGCCTTCTAAGTAGGAAGCTGTCTTATTATGGCTAAAATGAAAGATTGAATTGTACATAAGGGTATTCTCTGTTTCTATAATAGCTATTGCATAAAGAAAGTGGATCCTATGGAAATAGATTTCTTAATGAAATTTTTTATTTAAAAAAATTTTTTTATTTAAAAAAATTTCATGTATTAAATATAAAGACACCACTACTCACAGAAAAGTGCTCTTTTGGGAAAGGTAAAGACAACTTGTTAAATACCATCTCCCATACTTCCAAAGTCATCTGTGTGTGCAAAATTATATTCTACTCTCATGTCTTCAGTAATAAAAGGTGGAAAGTACCTACTAGAATAAAGTCCTTGCTTTTTCCTTCGAGACTGGCTCTTTCTGTTTAATTTTACCTGATGGGGAGGATTGCTATCTTTACGTTAAGCTTCATGAAATGCTTTGTTTCCTGAACAGAGTCTTGCTAAGCTGCAGGAGCGGTTTCATTTGGATCAAAACATTGGCAGATCTGAGCCAGATTTGAGATCCAGTCCTGTGAACTCTCATTTATCTCTCTCCAGACAGACCCTTGATGCCGGGTCACAAACCAGCATTTCCGGAGATGTAAGTTCTCTGTCAAAAGGTTGGCCCATGAAGGCCGTTGGTGGGCTATAGTTACCGCATAGATGGGGAACCGGAACAGGAGCTGGGCATGCAGTTTGGACTCTGGGTGTGTGGAAGCTCTGTTTCATTCTCATAAGATTCGTTTTAAAAATCAAAGCCCTATCTTTGATAAGCTTCCAGGCATATCAGGATTTGTCCGTTTGAATATCTTTGTTCCAACCTTTTCATTCTGCATTTCTTCCAAGATGCTAAGAAACGTCTGGAGACATATGAGAATTTAACTTTTTCCTGTTAATTATTCTCATTATCAAGTCTTGGAAGTTGAGAATCTTTCAAAGAAACATTAAGGCTAATGAGAAACAGAAGAAACAAACAAGAAAAGTTTGTTTTTGTAAATCCACAGTTGATATATTAAGATATATCATTTGTATCTGACATTTGAAAATACTTACTGTGGATTGGAAATGAACTATTTTGCGTTCTTGCTTTTGGGATGCCATTAACAGATGTTTGCTTTTCAGTAAGTTCCCAGTTATTTTCATATTCTCTAATGCTTCCTTGAAGTATGTGCTGTGAAAGTAAAAACAGGTAGAGATGAAAGCAGGCCTTACCTGATTGAAAATTAATTTTTGAAGTTACCTAGTTTATATTTTTGTACAGTTGAAAGCTGAATGATGGAAATTTTTAGCTCATAAAGGCAGGGAAATTAGTTCTAGTTCATTAATTTTATTGACCCATACACCCTTCATAAACTCTTAGATACCAGACACATTTACCTGCTATTTTTTTTGTCTTGAATTTAATGTGGAGAGAGAGCGATGTTAAAGTCTTTGAAAACCAGACAAGGTTGAATTGAAAGAAATGTTTTGCCCCCACTGAGACTATAAAGTGAGTGCCTTTAAAAACTGGTGTTTCCCAATTTTAGTACCATCTTCTTTAGCTTTCTAATTACTTGTACTTTCTAGAAACAAAAGCAGTCTGCCTCATTGATTAGCAAAGTTAATTGACTTCTTTCCTTTTGTTTTTCACTAGATCGGAATGAGAAGTAGATCAAACTTAGCTGAAAAGGTCAGGCTAAGCCTACAGTATGAAGAAGCCAAAAGAAGGTAATGACAGGGGAGCTGTTTTGTTTGGGCGTCAGGAACATGATTTTGTATTCCAGAATGATCTTTACTCCTATGGTGACATCTGCTGGGCATTGCCACACATTCTTTCCAAGGTTGCCCTTGACATTCTAGGGTGTAGGGATTGTCTCCACCCTTTCTGTCTCTTCCCTTTTCCCTGTCTTTAGAGCTGAAGAGCAGGGAGAGTTCACGAGAAGTGTGGAAATGGAGTCACCCGTTCTCATCTGGAAAAACAAGGAAGCTTTGGGCTTATACAATACTTGTCTCTCAATTAAAAGTGAGAAGGTTGGTTTCTTAGATGAAGCATGATGCAGGGGCTCAGGCACAGGACTTAATGGCTGAGGAGTTATCAAGTAAAGTCTAGTAAAGTCTTTTCAGTGTGCACCTTTGCTTTGAATTTCTTACCTCTGACACCTTGTTGATGCTGAGGTGTCTTCCCGGTTGACTTACTTCAGGGAGAAGGCAGGGAGCATCCTGTTTCTCATATTTACCTTATAAACCCTTATTACCCTTGGGCTCTTTTGGAGTGAGGCATCAAAGATGTTGCCATCCTCACCTGGTAGGTGGACGCAGGTTACTTTCATAGCATAGACAGCCTTGTTTTGAGGGATGAGGTCATGCTGACATCTTTTATTTCATTATTTCCCTTATAAAAGCTTAAAAATGCCATTGGTTAATTATTTACGGTGACATTAGGAAAACCTGCATTATCACTCTGTAGGAGAAAAAGAAATTTATCACATTCTTCCCCCCTGAGCAGGAAACACTCAGCAGAGAGCCTTCTAGAATATCATGGCTTCCTACCATAAAGAATCCCATCAGATACTGAAGTATGTCTGTTATTAATGGTAATGATGATAATCTAAAAGTAATTGGCCATAGTGCTTAGAGATTATCTGGCTTTAACAAAGCAAAATAGATATAATATTTGCCTCTCTGTAGACTATGTTCCTAATATATTTGGTTCTTCAATTTACTGAAGGAAATTTAACATTTGTCCCACAAATTCTTAACCATAGGAGCTTGAGTAAATCACTTGGTCATCCTTAATAACAGTTTAGTCTGCCAATTTTAACACCTTTAAATTCTCCCTGATGAATTTTGAATTTCTTGAGGTTAGGAAAAAATTGTATGTACTTTATTCTCTCCTTCTTCATGCCCGGCCTAGTGTCTTTCCTTCAGTAAATATTGAGGAGCGATGCGTGAATGTGTGGCCTGGAGAGGTGCCTGCTTGTGGGCCTCTTGCTGGGAGCGTGCAGCCGTTAGCACGCAGAACTCCTGGATTCTGCTGGGCACAAGCCCGAGGTTTATGTGGTCCCTGTGAGGAGAATGGCCAGCGCTCGGAATTCATCTTGGAGAGGCAGGCCTTGGGCTCCTGGGTTCTTTTGGGCTTGATTATGAGTTCCTTGGATCATCTTGGGCTTTTGCTTTTCTTTGACTGCTAATAGGTAATTCCACTTGGAGCTTTCTACAACTCTCTCCTCACAGGCTCCCCTGGAAGTCTTCTGCATGTTCTGCACACCCTTTTTGAAGTAAAACTTAAGACATCCCTAATGCCTACTCACCCAAGTAATCAGTAGGCACCTTTCCTCCATGCCCTACATTGTTGCGCCTGTTCAGTCAGTTGCCTCCGTCACATCAGAACCAAAGACACTATTTTTCCCACTCGGTTACATTGCTGAACCATTTGGGGTTTGATTTTAGTTATTAGTGATGTTGATGAGATGATAAATCTCAAGGGTTTTTTGTGGATGTTGAAAGTGCTATTAGATAAGTAAAGAGGCGGGTTGTGTTTCTCTGAAACCTGTGTTTTCCTCCAGCCTTTGTTTTATATGTTTAATGAAGCCAATAATATCATGCTTATTTAGCATTTTAGTGATGAGTTTTCCAGGATGTTGAGACAGGTGTTTATGGTTTGTGGTTAAAGCTGAAGAACAGCTGACGTTACATCTATCGTAAGTACAGACAGTAGGTGAAAAAGAGAAGCACTCTACCTATGCAGCACCAGTCAAGGATGGCGGTGTTAATCTTAAACAGGAAACATACAGCGTGAGGATGTGGGTCTTCCGCCTGCATTTCTTGTTCACCTTCCTCTTCCCCTTCTATTAATTTCTTCCACCAAAGAGGGAGAAAAAAATGTCCTCCTTTATGTCTGTTTTTCGTACTCTGATGTGAGCTACAGCAGCATCCAAAGTAGTCACCAGTATCCTTTTAGAGGAGCATAGATTCCGTCGCCAGCGTGGATTGATGTTGTCCTGTGGTCGGAAGAGCCACAGGTGGTCTACCTGGTGAACGCTTGGGGTTTCTTCATGGTGCCATCGAGCACTTGATTCGTTTCGATCTGGGAGTTAGTATAACTGCACAGTGTGAAGTGAGGCAAGGGAAGAACAGCCCGGTCTGCCTTGGGCACTTGCTCCTCTTCCCCGCACGTCGCTGTCTCCCTGGCCTCACACGTGTAGCTGCAGCAGGTGCTGGCAACGGTTGCTCCCGTGCAGCATCACCGTGTGGAAGGTGCCAGTCCTGAAGCCCGTGGCTGTCTCAGTCCCAGTCCCGAGGGGGATCAGCCTCTGCAGCCTCTCTCCCTTGCCCTTGGCGCTGCTAGGGCCTGCTGGGAGCAACTTCACTCACCTGTGGACCAAGTCCCTGCTTGCTTCTCTCTCCTCTTCCTTGCCTGACTTGCTCATACCTTTGGCTCTGCCCTGCCTGCCCTGGGGATTGCTATTTGGCTAGGGATGGTGTCTTTCCCCCGATGGACAGAATCTCATGGCACTCAGGGCATTTTTTGCCTTGGTTTTTTAAAAGGAAGTCCCCAGATGTCCCCCCATTCTCCTACACTGGGAGTGCCGTGTGGGGCTGGCCTGCCCCGGCCCCCAGAGTGCTCTGCTTTTGGAGCTTCTGGGTACTTGATCTTCACCCTTGGCCCGGGTTGGTGGGTGTGCTCACTCAAATCCTGAAGGTGGGGATCACGGTGGTGGGGAGACCACACCCCTGCATGCTGTCCAGTTGGATGTTCTCAGCCACTGCTTGCCTCTTCTGTCCTTTGTTTCAGTATGGCCAACTTAAAGATTGAGCTGTCGAAATTGGACACTGAGACCTGGCCTGGGGCGCTGGATGTTGAGAAAGAGAGACTGATGTTGATTCACGAAAAAGAAGAACTTTTAAAAGAGCTGCAGTTCGTCACGCCGCAGACGCGCTCTCAGGATGAGCTGGAACGCCTGGAGGCTGAAAGGCAGCGGCTGGAGGAAGAGCTGCTGCCCGTGCGGGGTGCGCCGAGCCGAGCTCTGGCCGAGAGGTTTGTGTTGGTCCCTGGACAGGCCAGCCCACGCCCCGGGGCTGTGTCCAGCCCGCATGCCCTGAGAGACCGCAGGAAAGGACTTTCTGTCCTAGAGCAGTGGAGGGCACCCTGCCTGCAGCTCCCACTGTGTCCATTCCTCTGTGCTTGTTAGGGACTCAGAATGCCCGGGACAGACGTTGAGCGAGAAACAGCCCGGCATTGACTGAGCCGCGTGACATTAGCCGTAGACTGTTGCCCTCTGATAAGAAAGATGATCTAGACCCTTGGAGCAGCGGGAGCTTTCTGTGCTGGGCTTTACTGCTCACGAGAAGGTGCAGGGATATTGCTCTTCTTTCCTAACAGGTCAGAATGCTCACTTGGATTTGGTTTGTCAGTTGAAACTCTTCCCTGGAGCACATGAGAATGTAAAGGCCAACTTCTCATGGTATTACACAGTTTTCTGAGGGAAGATGTGAGCTAATTAACTTAAAAAAAAAAATCCAGTCCAGTAAAGAGATCACCTGAGTATGAAGCCAAGGAACCTTCGTGTGTCAGTTGGATGTGAACACACCTGCCCAGGCATGCTGGGTCCAGACTGCTGCTGGGGGGTTGGGCATCTGCACACCCATCCTGTAGGCCAGCAAGGAAGAAGCAGCACATGTCCCACAAGGACAGAAAAGAAGTGGTCGTTGGTGGTATTTCAGGTGGCCTAAGAGTCAGTGTAAAACATGCAGCAGTGATCCAGTTGCTTTTCTGGTGACAGTTTACTAAATGTTTACGCTTGTATGGCTAGATAATATCAATACCTCTGAAAAGGTAGGGCGGCAGAGGAAAACCCCTCCCACCTTCCCCGCTAGGTGTTAGCCTGTGGACTTGGCACCCTCAGCCTCATTTCTCCATCATGGGAGAGTTGATTTCTGTGAGTTTGTAGGCTGTAGGAAGCATGAGGAAGCTGCAGAAGAGAAAGCCTCTACAGACTACATTCTTTACCATCTTAAAGGCTTCTTGCGGGCACGCCCACTCCCTCTTCTTGTCTTCCCCTCTTGCTCTGGCCCACTGTCCAGAGGTGCTGACTGCAGGGCCACCTGAGGTGGCGTAAGCAGGGCCACGCACAGGCACATCTGACAAAGACCGGAAGGAGCAAAATCAGGGGTGAGAAGACCAGGCAGAACTGAACCGCAGGTGTGCTCAGGGTGCTTCAGAGGCAGAATGAGCCTTTGGCCGAGGGTTGAAGACACCCGGGTCCCACATTGGACTGCCTGTGTCAGTGCCTGACTCCAGCTTCCTGCTAGTGCAGGCCCTAGGAGGCAGTGATGTGGCATTAGTAACGGGGTTGCACCACCCACATGGGACACCTGCATTGCCTTCCTAAGCTGCTCGTCCGCCCACTTTAGTCATTCCTCAGCTTCAGTTGCTGCAGGAGTTTGGAAAGTGAGCCAGTGATGTGAGTACCTTCTCACTTCTCGCACCCTCTCTCCCCCCACCTCCCTCGCTCTCCCTCTCCCTCCTACTCCCTGCCCCTCCCTCTCTCTCCTCCTCCCTCCCTCTCCTTCTTCTTCCTTTTTCTCTTTTTCTGTCTTTCCCCAAATAAAATTTTTAAAAATTTACAAGAGAATCTGATGCTTTAAAAAAAAAATCTTTGATAAATGAGACTGACTGTTTCACGTTTTCGGCAGAGCTGAAGTGGGCACTGAGTCTGGGGTCTCCCAGCAGACACGGCAGCGTAGGACTTCGGGCTGTGCTGTTGTTAATGGCTTTCATTCCCCAGTGCCCTGGCACTTTTTCCTACTCTTCACCTTTTATTGTTTCTCCCACTGTATGTACATATTTCTGCTCTGCGTGTTACAGCTGGGGAACCAGAAGGGAATACCTTTGCAAGCAGTGTATTTCTTTGGTGTTAAAGCAGATGGAGGCAGGAGACACTTTTGGGAAATAAGATTTTCTGTGTGGAACTTAGTTTCATTGTGGAACGAATTCTGCTCCACCAACACCAGATCCTGCGGTTTCTTCTTGGTACCTCCATGACTATCAAAGGAAACTACTTGCAGAATTCTTCCAAGTTTTCCTGTTTTCCGTTTGTTCTGAGGGTTCCTCCTTAGATCAGGAGTGACCTGAAGCAGAATTCTGAGTCATTATTGAATTTTGCTCCTTGAATTTTCAGCCACTGTATGTAACTTGGCCTGACAGCAGTGACTGCCCTCATCACCATGGACGTGATGCACACTGGGGGAAGAGGGACTCTCTTTTGGAGGTCAAAAGAGAAATTGCTCTTAAATGAAGAAGTCCCTGCAGTGTAGGTCCCATTATGCAGCTTTCATGTTCCTTCCATATGGTTATGAAAATTCCTTACACTCCGTACTTTTCTATAGTTGATAAGTTGCCCCTTATTTTCTTACATATTCTAGTTTCACCTGACAATTGCCAAAGTGTTACACTTGTTTCTTAATTAGAATTGTTTCTTAATTTTAGGTACTGCTTCTGGAAATTTTTTTATGCAGCTGAGTAGAGATCTATGTGTCTTTTTTTTTTCTTTAAGTAGAGGCGAGACATCTTACTTCTGCTACACAACTTGGAATTCTTTCTGGTTCACATTTCTGGGCTGAGAGGAGACCACACAGTGTCTCTCCCTCGGGACACTAGGAGCAGAGCTGGGAGGGTGTAAGCCCCCATGCTGGGCAAAGGGCAGCTGGCAGGGAAGGGGAGGACCTTCCAGGGCCAAGTGGAAAGAGCCTGGAGATGAGCTCCGAGAGACACGCCCCTGACCCACAGGAAGTCGGGAAGGTTACTTCCCGAGAGACACACCTGGAATGTGAGGAAGGGTTTGTCTCTCCCAAGGAGAAACCTGGAGCAATCGTTGGAGCTGCCCCACTGGGAGGTTTCTGTGACCGCCGGGCCTTTGCTGTGCTTCTCCCCGTGACACCAGGAAGAAGGGGGCACTGGGAGGGCTGTGCAGAGGAAGGAAAGCAGACCCTGGCCTCCTGGGGCCTGACTGTCTAACCAAGGGAACATGTGAGCGCAGGCCAGAGCCAGGCGTGGGTAGTTCAGAGCGAAGCCAGAGCGCCAGGACCGGCCAGGACCGGCAGAGCCCGGCGTTGGGCAGTTCTGCGGGAAGCAAGCGCCTCAGGACTGAATTTTGATGTCATCCTGCTGTCTCCTTAAAGCACTAGGAAAAGTCTCATTTTTAATAAAAGCAGTAATTCAGCACTTCCAAAGTTTTAGAAAACACAGATTTTTTTGGAGAGTTTTGGGCTTTCTCTAGATCTTGTGTACCTTCTAATTCTAACACATTTTATTTTGTATTAATTTTTTTCCTTATTGGGTTTTTGTTTACATTTGAGAGATTAAAAAAATAAGGACTGTGTTCCTTTTTAGAATAGACCTTTGAAAACTGTGAATTAAAAATTTATCACGCTTTGAAGTATTAAAATGGCAAGAACTACATTTTTAATTTTAACATATAATGAAATTATGTTGTTGACACATCAAAGGGGTAGATACCTATAAATAAAATACAAGCATATTTCCTTACTGCCAGAAACATACATAGCATTTCAAAGGGGTTGGAAATTAGGGAAATTTTATTTTTCTCCAAACAAAAAGTGGCTAATTTTTTCTCTCACCACCATGCTGAGGCTTAGCACAAATAGGATTTGTTTTCTCCTCTGTGCAGCACCTTGTCTTCTCCTCGTCCCTTTGATCCCTCTAACAGCCTTATCAGGTAGCCACAGAGGGCTGCAATCACCATTTTACAGATGTAAAAGGTGAGCGCCTGGGTGCAGGGACTTGCCTCAGGCTGTGCAGCTACGGCAGGCCTGCCGCAGAGCCAAGACTGGACGCCCAGGTGCGCCTTTTCCCAATCCCTTCCTGCCAGTGCCTCGTCTGCTCTGAGCTGCTTTATTTTGATGATGTCTGAAGACACTCAGGGGACACAGACGGCATTCATGCAGGCCTTTGGCTGCATCAACCCCAGGGCTGCTTGACATGTTTGAAAATGACTTCCTACTCAAGTGTGCAGCTCCGTAATGTTCTAATTTTAAAAAAGAAAAAACTCAAGTGGTTGAATGTTAGTGAGATGTCAGTGCTAACTTGGTGCAGGTTATTAGGTGTGCTGTAGTCAGGAAAGGAAGTCACCTCTAGTTTGTTTGTTTGTTTGTTTGTTTGTTTTTTGACAGGCAGAGTGGACAGTGAGAGAGAGACAGAGAGAAAGGTCTTCCTTTTTGCTGTTGGTTCACCCTCCAATGGCCGCTGCAGCCGGTGCGCTGCAGCCGGTGCGCTGCGGCCGGTGCGCTGCGGCCGGCACACCGCGCTGATCCGATGGCAGGAGCCAGGTACTTCTCCTGGTCTCCCATGGGGTGCAGGGCCCAAGTACTTGGGTCATCCTCCACTGCACTCCCGGGCCATAGCAGAGAGCTGGCCTGGAAGAGGGGCAACCGGGACAGAATCCGGCGCCCTGACCGGGACTAGAACCTGGTGTGCCGGCGCCGCAAGGCAGAGGATTAGCCTAGTGAGCCACGGCACTGGCCAACCTCTAGGTTTTGACATCTTGCTCCAGACAGGCACAGAGGGGCCCACCAGGTCATTGTGGACTGATTTCCTTTATCACTAAAATGCTCATCTAATTAGGATTGAAGTGTTCACCACTAACTTATTTTGCAACAATCCTAGTTAAATTCCATACCAAGATGACCTTTTTCAAGTTTTTATTACTATTGCCAAATATTTCGATAAGGGGCAGATGTTTAGCCTACTGGTTCAGAGACCCACATGCCACCTTAGAGGACCTCCATGTGATACCCAGCTCAGCTCACTGTCAGTGCAGACCCTGGGAGGCAGCAGTGACAACTCAACCCAGGTTTCTGGATTGAGTTCCTGTCTCCCATCTTCAGCCCCAACCCAGTCCTGGCCCTTGTAGGCATTTAGAGAGGGAACTAGCCTGCCTGTCAATAAATACATTTTTAAAAAATAATTTTTAAACACTTTAATCACATGAAAGCAAGTCACAGACCTGTGTAAGAATTCTGTAGTCTTTATTTAGTTTTTTTTTCTTATCATCACCCTTTTTTTTTTGTTTTTGTTTTAATTTTTATTTTATTTTATTTAATGAAAATAAATTTCCAAAGCACAGCTTATGGATTACAATAGCTTCCCCCCCATAACTTCCCTCCCACCCACAACACTCCCCTCTCCCACTCCCTCTTCCCTTCTATTCACATCAAGATTAATTTTCAATTATCTTTATATACAGAAGATCAGTTTAGCATATATTAAGTAAAGATTTCAACAGTTTGCACCCACACAGAAACACAGTTTGAGTACTAGTTATAGCATTAATTAAACACCTAAGAGTAATTGTGTATCAATTACAGAGTTCAACCAATAGTTTTAAGTAGAACATAAAAAATACTAAAAGTGTAAAGTATTAAAAGTGCAACTTTTGTATTGTTGTGGCTTCCCCCCCAACCTCCCTCCCTCCCATGGCCCTCCCCTCTCCCACTCCCTCTCCCATCCCACCCTTCATCGAGTTTCATTTTCAATTACCTTCATATACTGAAGATCAACTTAGTATATACTAAGCAAGGATTTCAACAGGCTGTACTCACACAACCACACAAGGTATAGGGTATTGTTCGACTAGTAGTGTTGTTTTAAGCTTCATAGTAAAACACATTAAGGACAGAGATCCTACGTGGGGAGCATGTACCCAGTGACTCCCATTGTTGATTTAACAGTTGGCATTCTTATTTATGACGTCAGCAATTACCCGAGCCTCTTGCTATGAGCTGTCTAGGCTATGGAAGCCCCTTGAGTTCACTGACTCTGAACTTGTTTAGTCAAGGCCGTATCACAGTGAAGGTTCCTTCCTCCCTTCAGAGAAAGGCGCCTCTCTCCTTGATGGCCTGTTCCTTCTGCTGGGGTCTTGTTCACCAGGATCTTTCATTTAGATTGTTTTTTTTGCCACCGTGTCATGGCTTTCCATGCTTGTGAGACTCTCATGGACTTTTTAGCCAGATCCAAATGTCCCAAGGGTTGATTCTGAGGCAGGAGTGCTGCCATTCTATGAGTCTGCTGTGTGTCCTGTGTCCCCCACAGGATCATTCTCTCCCTTTTAATTCTGTCCTTCATTATTTGCTTACACTGGTCTTATTTGTGAAATCTCGTCGACACATACCCTATCTTTTTGATCAGTTGTGTATGTATACTTATCACTTTACCAAGTGCTCTGGCATTGGTACCTGCCTCCTTGGTCACCCTTTTCTTTGACACTATTCTTCCCTAACTCCTAGGACCATTTTACTTACCTATTTAAGAAAATTTCAGACTCCTGACATTTTGAAATTCTCAGTGACTCCAGAGGTTGGGCAGGAATCTCCTCTTCACTTTAGCTCAGCTGTGTGTGCCTTGCTGGTGGTCCTGTTCTAGCTGTCACGTTCATTGATAGGTGATGCTGTGTGTGTATGTGTGAGTGTGTGAGAGAGAGACCGCGATAAGAATCTTTTAGTTTTTTTGTTTTATTGTAATCATCTGAAAATAATGTCTGTATTTTTTCCTAGATTGAAATTGGAAGAGCGAAGGAAAGAGCTGCTACAGAAACTTGAAGAAACTACTAAATTAACTAGTTACCTGCATTCGCAGCTTAAAAGGTGAGCTAGGCAGGTTCTGGGTGGGGGGACTGTTCTCCAGCTATGCTCAGGCATGTTGCAGGTCACTGCTGATTTCTTTGCATTTCATTTTCAGCTATTTAAAAGTAAATAAGGTAGTACCTCCAGCACAATTAATATTTGAGTTACCAAATTTCAAGCCATGTAGATTGTCTTCTTGTGAACTCCCCATGGTCATGTTGGTAATGAATTTGGAACATGTTGCAGGACAAAGTTATGTTTTAGCTGTTGGGCCATCCTTAGGAAAGTAACACATTTCTCCCATTTCCCCGTCTTTAAAATAAATAGTGTGGGGGAAATTTGCCTTAAAATATTTAGCCATAGATTTTCTTCTATTGGTTAGAAAAATATTCACCCCTTGAATTTATGCACAAAGAAGAGGAAAGGCATGAAGGAGCCCTGGAAGCTTTTGTGTAATCTCTTTGTTTTTATATGTTTACCCTTTAAAAAAAAAAGATTTATTTATTTATTTGAAAGGCAGATTTACAGAGAGGCAGAGAGAGAGAGGCAGAAAGAGAAAGAGAAAGATGTCTTCCATCCATTGGTTCACTCCCCAGATGACTGCAGTGGCTGGAGCTGTGCTGATCTGAAGCCAGGAGCTTTCCCAGGCGCATTAGCAGAGAGCTGGATTGGAAGTGGAGCAGCTGGGACTCAAACCAGCGCCAGTGTGGGATGCAGGTGGCAGCTTTACCTGTGCCAGCCCCAAGCTTACCCTTTTTTTAATCTAAAAACAAAAAGTTGGTTTAAGTGAAGTAACTATAATAACGTTTCATCCTTTTTGTTTCTGGTTTTTTTCCCTTTTAACATATTTAAATTAAAAATTGCTTCTAGATATTCATGTATGAAGACTTTCAAATATGTATTTTACATTTTTTTAAAAAGTGTGCAGAAGGGTAATTTTTAGTAAGAATAGAATTGCTACTTTTTAAGGAGTATCTGAGGGGGCCAGCATTGTGGTGTAGCAGGTAAAGCCACTGCCTGCAAAGCTGACATCCCATATGGGTGCCGGTTCAAGTCCCGGCTTCTCCACTTCTGATCCAACCCCCTGCTAAAAGATGACCCACTGTTGGGCCCCATTGCCCACATGGGAAACCTGGATGAAACTCCTGGCTTCTGGCTCCAGCCAGACCCAGCCTTGACTGTTGTGGCCATCTGGAGAGTGATCTAGCAGATGGAAGACCCCTCCCTCTGTCTCTCCTTCTAGGTAACTCTGACTTTCAAATAAATACATTAAAAAGCAAAGTGTTTGAAGAATAGGGTTGCAGGGGTTTAGTGAACACACAAGAAAAGATAGGCTGTTGTAGCTAACGCCCTGCCCCGGTCCGGTCCATTAACGCCCTCCCTTGGTGTCATCGGGTTCCTTCTCTTGGGGCCTACGTCCTGGGGGAGCTTGCAGAGGTTGTGATGGGATTTTCCGGACTGGACCAGATTTCACAGTGCGTGCTCCTCTTCCTCCAGCCTGTCCGCCAGCACCCTGTCCATGTCGTCCGGGAGCAGCCTGGGCTCCCTGGCGTCCAGCCGTGGCTCTCTGAACACCTCCAGCAGAGGGTCGCTCAACTCCCTCAGCTCCAGTGAGCTCTATTACAGCAGTCAGGGGGACCAGATGGACGTGGACTATCAGTATAAACTGGACTTCCTTCTGCAAGAGAAAGGCGGGTACATTCCTTCTGGACCCATCACCACCATCCATGAGAACGAGGTGGCCAAGTCTCCTGGCCAGCGTGGACTGTGCGGGGTGGCAGCCACAGCTGCTGGCCACACCCCCCCACTGACCGAGGCCCCCAAGTCTGTGACGTCCCTGTCCTCGCGGTCCTCCCTGTCCTCCTTGTCCCCTCCTGGCTCACCGTTGGTCTTGGAGGGTGCGTTCCCCATGTCCTCTCACGAGGCCACGCTGCGTCAGTTCACGGCCGACTTCGACGACTGTGAGCTGAGCAGCCGCTTTGCGGACATCGGCCTCAGGGAAAATCAGGTGCTGCTGGACGCTGATTCTGGAGGAACGCCCCAGCCGGCCTCGGAGGACCCAGACCTCAGTGAGTGCCCCAGGGAGCCTCTGTGTGAAGGAGTTGCAGGTGAGTGCGGACCTCGGCTTGGAAGGAGACAATGGAGGCTTACTCTTCCCATGTAAACCAACAGACAGTCGCCCTGTTTCCTTGACGTCTGTGTGTCAGCTCCATTTAAGGTGTGCTTTCTCATATGCACAGGCATTTTTTTTTCTTGAGAAAGTAAAAGTTACCTTCTGTTCTTAACCAGTTGAATCATTAAGTCCCTGTGCTTTTTCCAGAGACACTGTGTGTGTGGTAGCTGACAGGGAATGTATTTTATGAGCACACTTGATGCTTCCAAATAGATTGTGGTTCTGAAATAGCCAGGCAAAGAAGCAGGCTGGCTTTTAAAATTTGGCCTAACACAGATTAAAACCAAGGCAATTAGCATACCAGCTAATTAGTACCAAGGTTCAGTGTTTAGACTGCTCAGGGAATTCTATATAAATACAATTTTTTGTTCCATGCCAGACTCTTTTTGCTTCAAGTTCAAGTGGCAAAACAGGATGCAGTGCATGGTGTTACCCTGCCCTCTTCTGGCCACCTCGGTACTTGCAGCCCGAGGAAGCGGGACAGATGAGTTCTGCATTGGTACTCAGAACAGGAAGAATTTCTTTCTTCTCTCTCTCTCTCTCTAAATGTTTTCGTTTGCAAAGTGAAAACATTTACTATATTAGATATGCTTGTGAAGAGCACTAGAGGGTGCCTTGTTGGCAAATGATCACTCTTCTGGTCCGAGGTGGATGAGCTCTTCCAGGGCTAGCTTGAGGCCAGAAATATAGGTAAAAAGTCTTGTGCAGAGCTGCTGGTGCTGCCTTGTGTCCCATCGCACAGAAAGGGACAGCCCGCCTTAGGAGGGGGAAATCTTTTTGTTTGTATGTACATACGGTCCTAGGAATTAAGTGATTGGTGGATTCAGATGTTTAAAGCAATAGACAGACCAGACCTAGCCTGTTCCTTGGTTTCACACTGTACTCAGCTGGTGGGGCATATGAAACAGCTGTGGGGTTTGTGTGCCCCCTCCTGGGGATGTGTCAGAGCTGCCAGCAACATGCTGGTGAAGGAATTGAAGCAGGGGGTGGTGTGGACACTGGGGGCTCCCCTCTGCCGGAGGGAATAGCCACATGCCCTCTCGGCTGTGCCCTGGTGGGCACCTTAGCCAGTCTGTCTGGCAGTGAATGCTAGGAGGTTTGACACCATGAAACACACGAAGTCTCTGATCAGGCCGGGCCCAGTCATGAGTCATGCACCGTGTGACGGGACCGTGAGTCCCCGCCTCAGACGGCGGGGGTTATGGAAGGAAGAGCAGAACGGAAGCAGGCGGAGTGTGGTTTGCAGCATTCTTCTGTGCTTTGGATTTGAAGAGTCCTACGTTTCTTGAGCATTTCAAGTTACTTTCAGTCTGCATGTATCCTGAGTAGCCCCTAGTGACCAGTGCATTTAGGGGGGCGGGAGAGGGAGGGCGGGTCAGCAGAAAGCCTGCCGGCGGTCTGCCACAGCCCTTCTCCCCCAGGATCCCGAGGCCCCTTCCTGCCCCCGGCTCTTGGGTCTCTGATGAGTCTGTGTGGCTGGAGACAAGCCTTGACTAAGGCGATGTTAGCTTTTTTACTGCACATCATATTACCCAAAGCACTGTTAAAAAGTCAGCCTGTGGGAAGGTAAGGCCAAGAGCTCTGTTTGCAGATAGTGCTAGCTTCAGGTCTGAAAATAACTGAAAACGCAGTTCTCATCAAAAGATGCGTTCTCTTCGGGTCGCCATTCTCTTTGGGTCGCCAGTCCTTGATCTGTCCGGGGGACATCTGCCCCTCCCCAGGGGGTGAGGGGCTGCCTGTCAGAGCCTCAGTTCATCTCTCTGAGTGCTCTGGAGTCTTTCCCAGGTGAAGTTGAGCCCCTTTTGTGTAAATCCTGCTCTCCAGCATCAGTGCCTGCTGGATGGCAGAAACCAAGTTGGAATAACTACGAGTCAGTCTCTGTCATTGTCAAAGTCAATTTCAGGCTGCTGTGGTTATTCCTGGGGGTAATCAATAAATCATGTCATCACCTTCACCCTCACGGAGAGGGGGTGGGCGCAGAGAAGGCACTTCATCATCAAGGAAAAAGCATTCCTACTGCCAGAAATAAAAGGGGAAATGCGGCAATCAATCCTGTAATCTGAAGCCTTAAAACTTAAACATCTTAACAAGATGTAAAGTCACGGCTCAGGAGGGGGCCGGAACGCACGTCCCCCCTGGGCTGGGCTCCAGGGCCCTGGCCAGGAGAGGATGAAAGTGCTCTGCAGGCCTGCAGCTTGTTACGCGCAGAGCACAGCTGTCAGTGAGAGCGCCTTGCTCACGGCAGGATGCTCCTGTATGAATATGAGCGGGAGATGAAAGTTAAGTGCGAGTTGGTGCTAAAGATTCAGTAACACAAAAAGTGTTTTTTTATTTTTAATGGTATTAGCTAGTGAGAAATTCCTGTAAGTCAAAGACATTTTCTCTGTAATTTCTGTTAGAAAAGTGGCCCGGGAGATGTGGAATATGGCATGTGGAGAGGAGGCAAGAGCAAATGAGGCGGAAACCTGCCCTCCCATTGAGTGAGCTAGAAGCTCTCTGTCGTAGCATACTCAGACAGCTGGGGGAGGCAGATAGTTTCCTACCCCAAGGATGTGTAACCGTAATGACTGCTGGGCAGGAGGACTAGGAACCAGCGAGAACCCGGGCAGTCCATCCCCTTCCCTCAGAGTGTTCCAGGACGAGAAGAAACCAAGCAGTGCTGTTTCCTAAACAATGACTGAAAGAACCGTTGTCCTAGGGAGCTTGGGGGTCGTGGCTTCCTGGTCATCTACAGTTGCTGAGTTGAACAGTCGTGTCCTGGGCTCTCAGAGGACGCTTTATTTTGGATAGCTCATGATCAAGCCATGTGTACTGCCCACTTCACTTTTCCTCGGAGGAGCTCTAACTAGTGCTGTCACTCTCCCTCCCTCAGACGTGGAAAAATCACTACCAAAAAGAAGAGGCATCCACTTGCTTGGGGAGAAAACTGCTTGTGTGTCGGCTGCTGTATCGGACGAGTCTGTGGCTGGGGACAGTGGCGTCTATGAGGCTTTCATGAAACAGTAAGGATTCGGCAGGGCTGCTTCTGTCTGTACCATACTGCTCGTAGCTTTGTGTGTGCGTGCATGTGTCCACACGTGTGCGTGTGTGTGTTATGCTGCCAATGTCCTGCTACCGTGAATCCACCCTCAGAAGTACACTTGATTTCGGTGGGGACACTGGGGCGAATTGCCGGTGCTTGTTTGGTGCACGGAGCTTCTGGTGTGTATTTCTGAAAACCCAGACTGTACGTGGCAGTGTGCCGGAGTGCCATAGCGAGGCCGTATGAGTCACGCACTGGAAGATCCCTCCCTGAAGCCCAGAGGCAGTCTCGTTTTGTAAAGATAAAGATAGCCTCTGAAACAGGCAACTTTCCCTGGCATCAGCTCCAGAGATGGCGCAGGAGTGCTGTGGATTCCAGTTTGTATTCAAAATCAGCAGGTAGAGCCACCTCCTATGATGCTGGCGTCCCATGTTGGTGCCGGTTCAGGTCCTGGCTGCTCCGCTTCCAAACCAGCTCACTGTTAATGCACCTGAAAAAGCAACAGAAGATGGCCCAAGTCCTTGGGACCCCAAGTCCTCACCCATGAGGGAGTTCCATGCTCTTGGCTTCTGCCTGGCCTAAACCTGACTATTATGGCTAATCAGGGAGTGAACCAGTTGACGGAAGATCAGTTCCTCTTTCCCTTCCCCTCTCCCTCTCCCTCCCCTACCCCCTCTCCCTCTCCCTCCCCTACCCCCTCTCCCTCTCCCTCTCCCTCTCCCTCCCCCTCCCCTACCCCCTCTCCCTCTTTCTCTCCTCACCCCCTTTCTCTTGTAACTCTGCCTTTCAAATCAAAATTAATAATTTTTTTTTAAAAATCATTGAGTAGTGAACAGTAATTCATAATAGGCAGTTTCCCCATTGATTGCCTGTTCTCTCCCAGGCCTGGTGAACTCGAAGACGCTGCGTGCAGTGGAGAGGATGCTGCCGTCGTGGAGACTGCCCAGGTGCAGATCGGACTCAGGTAGGGCATGGGTAGGTGGGGAAGGGCGAGCGCGGGAGTCTGTGCAGTGACAGGTGATCTGTGGAGATTGCTTACTTCCTTCATCTTCTAACAGATACGATGCAAAAAACTCGAGTTTCATGGTGATTATAGCACAACTTCGAAATCTTCATGCCTTCTTGATACCTCATACTTCAAAAATGTAAGTAAAATCAGTGGAGAACAACTCAAAGAACTTAATGCTTCTGAAGTCAGTGAAGAGCAAATAAAAGAAATTATAATTTTTCTTGTAAGATATGTTCGTTGTCCTTAAGCAGTTTGTCAAAATGAGGATGGGGGATGACCTAATAAATCAACAGTAGATAAAGATGAGAAGCAAAACATGACACAGACATACTAGGTTTTGGTCTTTCTCAGTTCACTCATTATTAAGCTAGGTGTCAAGACTTTGTATCCCCGTTTTCAATCAGAAATTCTGAATTATGCTGTGTTGGGCCTGATTATTGGAAATACAATGAAGTTGTTTGTTATTACATTATAGTTATTACGGTTTTTGTTATTGCATAGTATTTCCTACAATTGGCTTAGAGGAATTTTCTGATCTTTCACATGAAAAGATGGTGATCAAATCTTACTTGTCGGGGCCGGCGCCGCGGCTCACTAGGCTAATCCTCCGCCTAGCGGCGCCGGCACACCGGGTTCTAGTCCCGGTCGGGGCGCCGGATTCTGTCCCGGTTGCTCCTCTTCCAGGCCAGCTCTCTGCTGTGGCCAGGGAGTGCAGTGGAGGATGGCCCAGGTGCTTGGGCCCTGCACCCCATGGGAGACCAGGAAAAGCACCTGGCTCCTGGCTCCTGCCATCGGATCAGCGTGGTGCGCCGGCCGCAGCGGCCATTGGAGGGTGAACCAACGGCAAAAGGAAGACCTTTCTCTCTGTCTCTCTCTCTCACTGTCCACTCTGCCTGTTAAAAAAAAAAAAAAAAAAAAAAATCTTACTTGTCGGTACCACGTCACCAGTCGAACATTTTACATACTGCATGTAAGAGTATGTTTTTCTCCTCAAGCATTGGCTTCCCTGTGAGCAGTGATTTCGTAGTTCCTTCACTTCATCAATCCAGGAAGCCCAGCCAAGTGGCGGCCCAGTGCTGCACAGGCCGTTGCTTCGGCACTGTCTGAGAGCTGACCTCCGTTCACACTTCTGGAGCCAGAGTTCCGGGGACTCTTCTAAGGACTCATGGATATGAATGGGCTGCGTGCAAAGGAGGTCTTCAAAGCACACATGGAAATGCAGACCGAAAAAACCTTGCTTGGATTCCAAAATAAATTAATCTTTTAATTCCTTTTTCCATGAACTTTTTGAAATATCCTCATGTATGTCTACTCTGCATTTAGACTTCCTGAGTCAGGATGTGGATCTTGATCATATTTTGAGTGTGACATTACAAGGAATTGGAACTAAGCTGTTGAGGGGTGATCCCCAAGACTCTGTATTCGGCCAGGTGGATATTTTTCCTTACGGCAGAGTATATTCCTCAATGAAAAAGAACTATATAGGAGAGTTCTGCATGTTTTCTCTCCAAGTGTCTGTTCACATCTCATATTCATCAGAAAAAAGAAACTGGATCAAAATAAACAAACAAGAGAGCTAGATCAAGATGATGGAGCAGGCAGCGGAAAAAGAGAGAGTGGCTGTCTGTGTGTTGATGGTCATCAGAGCTAGAGCGGAATGGCACAGACTCGGAAGTCTTCCTGAGATCAAGGCGTGGGATTACTAGTGAGACCACTAAAAAGAGCAGGCAGAGTGTGGGAGTCTGCTGCCCAGGCTGACACACAAATACCAGTTGGAAGTATTCAGGCAAGGTGGCTAGGTAATATGTTTGTGATTTTTCCCTGCCAGTAAATACGCTATGGAAATGGTGCTTGCCATTGGTGGCCTTTTAATAAGACAGGTTGAAAGAGGAGTTAGGTTTACCAGACATTGAATCTGTGAACTGTGAGAGCCGCTCAAAAGCTGAGGAAGAACTGCAGAATGCCCCCAAAACATGCACTTTCTTTAACAAGGGGTGCAGGGGTGCACCTACCCGAACGCTGAACCTTACCCAAGGCAATGACAGGCATCCTTACCTCACAGGAAGTGACAGAGTCCTGTGCAGGTGGGAGGACGCCCTGGGTAGTTCAGGGCCAGTAGTCATCAGCCCAGCTGACGCATATGGAATGCTGTTCTTCTCAGCTCGTCTTGGGCTACATAGCAATACTTTCAGAAACCCATACATAAACTAAATAGAGACACTGCTAAAAATGACTGATATAAATACCTTCAAGTAGTTATTTTCCCCCACCACCTCAAGACTGTGTTTTTAAGATTAATTTATTTATTTGAAAGGCAGAGAGAGAGAAATCTTCCATTTACAGGCAGGCCTGAGCCAGGCGGAAGCCAGGAGCCAGGCCTCCATCTGCATCTCCCCATGTGGGTGGCAGGGACACAACTACTGGGATCCTCATCCACTGCCTCCCCAGGACACTAGCAGGGAACTGTGTTGGAACAGAGTAGCTGGACTCGAACTAAACTCTGAAATGGAATGCAGGTGTCGCAAGTGGTGGCTTCATCCACTGTGCCATAATGCCCACCCCTGAGTTTTTTTGTTGTTCATTGTAGCAGAGTTTGTGCTTCACAGTGTTTCCATGAGTGACTTCTGGCTTGTCTGACTCCAGTTTGCACCTGCCACCCCCAGCAGGATAAGAGGAAAGCACCCCCTCCTTCTCTCCTTTGTGCCTTTAGCTGTTAACCAGTGTAAGATCTTTCTGAAGTGGCTAGGCCACTGGTGCGAAGTAAGACTGAAAGCTCCGTGCTAACTCTGACAGGTCTCTCCTCTGCTGCTGTTCCGTGAAGGCAGAGTAAACGAGTTTCCTCTGCTGACTCCCCAGACCGAAGGAGAGTCCGCTGTGCCTCGGGCGGGCTCTGGAATCCAGGCTCACTAGATCTCTGATACCCAGTCTCCAGAATTAATGTTGATATAAAGTACAAAGTAGTACAGCGTTCCTCGTTCTGCCTTTGAGTGTGAAGTTACTTGGAGAAAAGCGTGTTTTCAGAATGGAGTTAGAGAAGCCGGGAAACGGGATTAGGAGTAGGTTTGGTGGGCGTTGTCTTTCTGGGATTACAAGGAAAAGGCTTCATGCAGTTCGCGGGAACCGTGGGCCTTCCGTTGAATGATGTGAAGCATAGACTCTGAACACAGCCTGTCACATCTGAGACTCCAGAGGTGCTGGACGGTGATGTTTCGAGCTGTTGTTCCATCTGTTTTAAATGTTCTCAACAATATGCTACTCAGCCTTTCTTCTTCTCTAGTAGCATAATGTATCCCATTTCTGGGAAGTGGGCACCAGCATCTCTTGTCTCATGCTCAGGATATGAGTTATGAGGATATGGGATAAAGTCTCCGGTCCCTACGTGTGTTCCTGCCCTCCTGAGCTCAGAATAACTTATTTTGGAGTTGACTGTGCACGGCGCAGGTGGGATGTGAAATTTGCCCTGCGGACTTTCCTCCTCTTCACTTCCCAATCACGTGCCTTTGCTGCAGTCTCGTGCGTGGCAGGCTGGGCCGTGGCACGCTCAGCGCGCAGTTGGCACGGGTGGTTAAAAAGAGCATGTCGGCAGCCGAGCAGTGACCGCCCCGGCAGCAGTGCTGTAGCTGGACAGGGAACTCGCCAGTGCCTCACGTCTCTCCTTTGCAGATACCAAGCAGCAGCCATGAACCCAGAGCAGTTGAAGGAGCTATGAAACCCATTTTATCCTTGCTCTTCGCAGATATTTCAGGGTCGCTGTGCTTCCCTCCTCAGCTGACGTCAGCTGTCTCTTTCGGACAAAAGTCCATCCGCCCACAGAATCCGTTTTGTTCAGCGATGTGTTCCGAGTGGCCATCTCCCAAGCAGCCTTACAGCAGAAGACGCTGCGAGTAGATCTGTGCTCTGCGAAGAAGCACCGGAGGGAGGAGTGCCTGGTAGGTGACCTCGCGGTCCTATTGCTCTGTGGCCAGCCCTGAAGCTGCCGTCTACCTGCCTGATGCCTTGAGGCACAGCCAGTGGCTATTTGGTTTGTGTGGGTTCTTTTTTGCCCTGGAGTATTGATTTCCATCATTCATTCTCTTATTCCAGATTTTTAAAATGTGCTTATGGGCCGGCGCTGCGGCTCAACAGGCTAATCCTCCACCTAGCGGCACCGGTACACCGGGTTCTAGTCCCGGTCGGGGCACCGGATTCTTTCCTGGTTGCCCCTCTTCCAGGCCAGCTCTCTGCTGTGGCCAGGGAGTGCAGTGGAGAATGGCCCAAGTGCTTGAGTCCTGCACCCCATGGGAGACCAGGAGAAGCACCTGGCTCCTGCCTTCGCATCAGTGCGGTGTGCCGGCTGCAGCGCGCCAGCCACGGCGGCCATTGGAGGGTGAACCAACGGCAAAGGAAGACCTTTCTCTCTGTCTCTCTCTCACTGTCCACTCTGCCTGTCAAAAAAAAAAAAATGTGCTTATGAATTGTGACTCTATGAATTCTTTTTTTTTTTTTTTTTTGGACAGGCAGAGTGGACAGTGAGAGAGAGACAGAGAGAAAAGTCTTCCTTTGCCGTTGGTTCACCCTCCAATGGCCGCTGCGGCCGGCGCACTGCGCTGATCCGATGGCAGGAGCCAGGTACTTATCCTGGTCTCCCATGGGGTGCAGGGCCCAAGCACTTGGGCCATCCTCCACTGCACTCCCTGGCCACAGCAGAGAGCTGGCCTGGAAGAGGGGCAACCAGGACAGAATCCGGCGCCCCGACCGGGACTAGAACCCAGTGTGCCGGCACCACAAGGCGGAGGATTAGCCTAGTGAGCCGTGGCGCCGGCTGACTCTATGAATTCTACTTTGTGTTTAACCCTGTGACAACAGAAGAACTGTTGCCTCTGTTGTGACAGTTCCGTGTGCAGCACGTTTGCTTCTCCCAGCGCCAAGCCCCGTGCTGAGCACTGCGTGTCTCACTTCGAGACAGCCTTACGAAAGTCACTAGGAAAGGTGTGATTCCCCCTTGTTCAGATCAAGAGCTGCTTAGAGAACGTACCCAGGGGCACGCAGCCACTTGAGCCACAGATTGTGAAGACTTCCCGGCACACAATTCACTGTTACAGACTTAAATTAAGCAATACACTGAGTATACAGTTCGCTTACTCCACTCATTCTCCTCACCACAGTATCAGCACCTCCAGGAAGACGGTATTTAGAGCAATGTAATATTCAGATGCCACAACGGAAGACTCCCCGCTTAGCTAATTATGACTCTGAGCCACCATTGTTCCTAATAACCAGAAAACCACGTGCCAGGAGAGCTGCCTGGTGCTGAGGCCCAGGCATCGGGAGGGGTACCGTGTGAGCGTCTCCAGCTGAGGGCTCCTCTGCAGTCCAGTGGGAAGCACAGACCCACGCCTATTTCCTGATGAACAAAAGTTGAAGAGTGATAGGTTTCTTCTTGGGGAAAAAAAAACAGTTTGATAATGTCCACCAATAAAGAAAATGACAAGCTAGAGAGCAGACTTTCTACCTGTGCCACATCAGAGCCTTCAGTAAAGTTCCTAAACGTGCTCATCGGGATCTCTTCACAACCAGTCAGATAGTTTCAGTTAGCTTCCGGCTGTGTGTGGTGTGCTAGAACATGAAAGCCTTTAGCCGCTCCTTTTTTGGACTCTTCTGTAACCTTCCTGTCCAAAGAGAAACTTCCCTATATGATTCTTATTCAAGAACCAGTATGGCATTTGAATTTGTTTTAAAAATTTTCAGTGGATAATGGACTGTTTGTGAATATTAAGTCACTTCTATGGTTTATTACAAGAAGTATTATGTTTAGGATTATCATTTATTTTGTTTTTCAATTCTTAAAATATTTACACATTTGCAAAAAAAAAAAAGCTTTACGCTTAGTTATTAGCTGTTGATGAAATGGTATCTCACAGTGATGCCGGGATTGACTTTAATTTGGGGGTGATTTCTTATTTAGTCCTACTAGAAAACACAAGACAGCACTGAGCTTTAAAAAACCCCACCAGTGCTTTTATATCATAAGTACTGTATGGGGATTTGTTTCCCCTAAAGTGAGCTCACCTGATAATCTTGATTGTGTCATAAAGAACAAAGACTAATTTAAACATTTTCATTTCTCTCTTCTTTCTTTTTCTTTTCATTTCACATAGGCTGGAACTCAGATCAGCCTGGCAGATTTGCCTTTTTCCAACGAGATCTTCACTCTGTGGTACAACTTGCTTCCTTCCAAGCAAATGCCTTGTAGACAGAATGAAGAAGAAAAAGAGGATTCCGTATTTCAACCAAACCAGCCATTGGGAGACTCTATAGATCTGGTGAGTCAGAATGAGAGAACAGTCATTAAGATTTAATAGAGCGATGGGAAGCACAGACTTCTCTGAGACTCATGATTTTTTTATTCATTTTTTCTGGCTTTCCTTCTTTTCCTTTCATAGCTTTACCCTTTTCTCAGCCCAAAAAATAAAAATGCAAGACAATTTCCAGCTTTGTTTCAAGTAAGATTTATAAAAGGATCATGCTTCACTTTTTTATGTGGCCATTGAAAACCGTTTATTTATTTAAAGATTTATTTAATTTATTTGAAAGGCAAAATTACAAAGAGAGAAGACAAGACAGAGAGAGCTTCAATCTGCTGGTTCACTTCCCAGTGCTGGGCCAGGCCGAAGCCAGGAGTTTCTTCTAGGATTCCCATGTGGGTGTCAGGGGCCCAAGCACTTGAGCCATTTTCTGCTACTTTCCTAGGTGCATTAGCAGGGAGCTGGATCAGAAGTGGAGCCGCCAGGTCTCAAATCAGCGCCCATATGGGATGCTGGCACTGCAGACAGAGGTTCTACCCACTCCACCACAACACCAGCCCCAAACCTTTTTATTTAAATACACACTTTGATACCTTGTGTTCACATACTTGATTCCATTGGCAGGTTATCAATTTGGCACTCTTAGATTTTTGCAAATTTTAAATCATTAAGCCTAATTAGTGTGTTAGTTTTCTTTCTTTTTTTTTTAATTTTTGTTTTCATTTTGTAGTGATTTATCTATTTATTTTGAAAGTCTGAGTTAGAGAAAGAGAGAAAGAAAGAGAGAGAGAGAAATCTTCCATCCACTGCGTCACTCCCCAGATGGCCACAACAGCCAGGACTGGGCCAGGCCAAAGCCAGAAGCCAAGAGCCAGGAGTTTCTTCTGGGTCTCCCACTTGGGTGCGAGAGCCTAAACACTTGGACTGTGTTCCACTGCTTTCCCAGGCACTTTAGCTGGGAGCTGGATTGGAAGTGGAGCAGCCGGGGCATGAAGCAGTGCCCATATTAGATGCTGGCATTGCAGATGGTGGCTTTACCTAGAACACCACAATACCCAGGCCCTAGTTTTCCATTTGTCACATCAATATCCCTAAGTGTTTGCTGTTGAACAGTCTGTTACAACCAGCAGTCATGCATTAGTGCCTGAAAGGATTTGCAAAGGGACATTTTGTGAGGCCATTCATCACTGATTTGGCATTCGTGGTATTGTAGCTGAGTTCGAGTTTGTTTTAGAATGTCAATGAGGAAAGATGAAGCAGCGGTGTAGTACTGACCACCTGCTCTGTGCAGGGAGGTCTGGTGGACGTCACAGTAGGTGGTGAAAGGGAAGCAGACACAGCTGTGGAGCTTCTGTCACAGTCCCAGGTTTGCATTTAGAACCATCACCCTGTGCGTATGGTTTTGAACTAGCTTTACTGTAATTCAATCCATGTATCAAGTGATTCACCCACTTAAATGGACAGTTCATGCACTCTAGCCATAGCTTAGAGGACTGGCGTATACTCACAGGGTTTTGTGCCATCTTGGCAATCTGACAATTAGGGCATTGCCATCATCCCAGTGAGCACCCCTGCACCCATGAGCGGTCACTCCTGATTCCCCCGAGGCAACCACTGATGATCTTTCTGTCTCAATTTGCTTATTCTGGACATTTCATACAAATGAAATAATTCGCTGTTTTCCTCTTGTGGTGGTCTTCTTTCAGTTAGCATGCAGTTTTCAAGGTAAATCCGCAATGCAGCAGTACTAGTATTAAATTCCTTTCTAGTCTCAAATAGTGCTCTGTTGTGAATGTAACACATGTTGTTTATCCATCAGCTGATGAGCATCTAAGTTGTTCTGTGTTTTGACTGTTACAAATAATGGCGCTATGAACATTCATGTATGCAAGCCTTTGTATAGACACCTTTTGGTTTCTCCCAGGTACACTGGTATACCTAGTAGTGGAATTGCTGGGTCATGTGATAACTCTACTTAATAGCTTGGAGAACTGCAAATTGTGTTTCTTGATGTAATGAGTTATGTATCTTTTCATCACTTAGTTATGAACTTTTATAGCACAAAAGTTTTTAACTTTGATAAAAGTCCAGGGGATCCATTCTTTCTTCATTATGTAGCTGCGGATTTTATGTCTAAGAGTTTGCCTCACCTAATGCCACGGAGATTCGCCCAGTGTCTCCTCGGAAGAGTCTCAGGCTTAGATCCCTGGTGCGTTTAAGCTGTTAATGTGAGATGGGAGGAAATCGTCCAGTTCCGTTCCTTTGAGTGCAGCTGTCCCAGCACCACTTCTTGAAACAAATGTTCTTTCCCTCTTTGAATTATCTTGCATCCTGTCAGCCCTAAGTGTGAGCGTGCATATATGAACCCTCAGTTGTGTTCCATCCTCTCTGTGACTGTACCACGCTGATCACTCTCGCTCTGTAGTCATTTTGAAATGAAGGAAGTGACGGTCCTCTAATTTTGCTTCTCACTTTCAAGATTGTTTTGCCTGTTCAGGGTCCCTAGTATTTCTGTATGAATTTTAGTATCAGTTCATCAATTTCTGCAAAAAGTGGCAGCAAGGATTTTGAAAGGAATAACATTGACTCCAGGTCTGTTCAGGGGTATTTTCATCTTAACAGTTTTCAGTCTCCTTGTCCCATGGATTCTGGATGCATTTCTGTTTAAGTGTTCCTTAATTTCTTTTAACAATGTCTTGTTGTCTTTAGAATCCAAGTTTGGACTGACTTTGTTAAATTTATTCTAAGTATTTTATTCTTTTTGATACTATTGTGAATGGGATTGTTTTCTTCATCACGTTTTCTGATTATTCATTGCCTAATTGAGTTTTGCTTATTTTTCTTGTATCCTGCAACCTTGATAAACTTGTGTATTAATTCTAATAGTTTTTAGTGGATTCCTGAGGATGTTCTGTATGTATGATCATATCTTTCTGCAGATAATCTTGTTCCTTCCTAGTTGAATGCTTTTTGTCTATTTTTCTTGCTTATTTGCCCTGGTTAGGGCTTCCAGTACAATGTTGGAAGAGGTGTAAGATCAGACATCCTTATCTAGTTTTTGATCTTAGAGGGGAACCATTCATCATTGAGTATGACTCTTGCTGTCGGTTTTTCATACATGACATTTATCAGGTTGAAGAAAACTTCCTTTCTCAGTTCCTTGAGTGTTTTTTTTTTTAATCATCAAAAGCTATTGGGTCTGACAATTTTTTTAAAGGTTTATTTATCTATTTGAGAGGTAGAGTTACATTCAGTGAGAGGGAGAGACAGAGAGAGAGGTCTTCCATCTACTGGTTCACTCCCCAAATGGCTGCAATGGCCGGAGCTGCACCAGTCTGAAACCAGGAGCCAGGAGCTTCTTCCGGGTCTGCCATGTGGGTGTAGTCCTTGGGCCATCTTCCACGCTTTCCCAGGCCATAGAGAGCTGGATTAGAAGAGGATCAGCTGGCGCCGTAGGCAGAGACTTAACCCACTGTGCCACAGCGCTGCCCCATTATTTTTTCTGCAACTATTGAGATGATCATGTGACTTTTGCCCTTTATTCACTTATTATGGCTTGTTAATTGATTTTCAGGTGTTAAGCCAATTTTGCATCCCAAGGGTAAGTCCCACATGGTCATGGTGTAGGGCCTTTTCACATTAATGGATTAGATTTGCTGTATTCTAATTAGGATTTTGTGTCTATATTCATCATTTTCATTTCTTGTGATGTCTTTATCAGGTTTTTTAAAGATTTATTTATTTGAAAGGCAGAGTTGCAGCGGTGGGGGGCGGGGGGGGTGTCTTTCATTTGCTGGTTTACTCCCCAAATTACTGCAATAGCTGGGGCTGAGCCAGGCTGAAGCTGGGAACCAGTAGCTTCACCTGGGTCTTATACTTGGGTGCAGGGGCCCAAGCACTTTGGTCATCTTCCTCTGCTTTCTCAGACACATTAGCAGGGAGCTGGATCAGAAGTAGAGCAGCTGGGACTCGAACTGGTGCCCATATGGGATGCCAGTGTTGCAGGTGATGCATTAACCCGTTGCACCACAACACTGATCCTCTTTATCAGATTATAGTATCAGAATGATTTTGGTCTCATGAAATGAGTTAGGAAGCATTTCCTCCTTTTTACTTTTGGAAGGCTTTGAGGGAAAAAATGATATTAGTTTTTCTGTAAATAGTTAGTAAAACTTAGCAGTGATGCCATCTGTTACTGGTTGAAGTTTTCATTTACAAATTCAACTCTTTTTTTTCTAAGTCTATTTGTAATTTTCTTCTTGAGTTAGTTAGTAACTTCTGTCTTCTTAGGAATTTATCTATTTCATCTTGCTTATCTAATTTGTTGGTATATAATTTTCATAGTCCATTTTATATCTGTAGGGTTAGTAATAATATCCCTCTTTCACCCTGAATCATATTAATTGAAGCCTTCTTTCAAATTTTCTTGGTCAGTTCAGCTAAAGATTTGTTAAAGGGCCTTTTGAAAGAGCCAATTTTTAGTTACATATGTTTTCCCTAATGGCTTTCTGTATGCTGTTTCATGAATTCCATTCTAGTACCTTTTAAAAAAATATATTTATTTATTTAAAAGGCGAGTTACAGGAGAGAGGGAGAGGCAGAATCAGAAAGAGAGAAGGCTCCCATCTGCTGGTTCACTCTCCAAATGGCTGCAATGGCCAGGGCTGGGCAGACCAAAGCCAGGAGCCAGAAGTATCATCCAGGTCTCCCACATAGGTGCAGGAGCCCAGGCACTTGGGCCATCTTACGCTGCTTTCCCAGGCATATTAGCAGATAGCTGGATTGGAAATAGAGCAGCCAGGACTTAAACCGACGGTCATATGGGATACCAGCGCTTCAGGCAGCACTTAACCTGCTGTACCATAGCGCTGGCCCCTCAATTCTAGTCTTTACTGTGTCCATCCTTCTGATGGCTCTGAGTTTATTTTGCTCTTTACCTTTTTTTTTCCTTTTTCATTTATTTGAAAGACGGAGAGAGCTCCCATCCTCTGGTTCAAACAAGATGCCTGCAACAGCACATCTTCAAATCTAGGTCTCCCAAGCAGGTGGCAAGAACTCAGTTACTTTGGTTATCACTGCTGTCTCCCAGAGTCTGCATTAGCAGGAACCTGAAGTCAGGAGCTAGAGTCAAGTATCCAGTCAAGCACCCTGAAATGGGATGCGCGTGTCCTAACCAGAGATCAAATGCCCAGCAGCCTTCTACATTTTCTTAAGGTGGAAAGTTAGGTTACTAATTTGATGCATTCTTTTTTCCCCCCAGAAACCTTTTATTTAAGGTATAAAAACTTAATGCATTTCATAAAAGCAACTTTAAGAACATAGTGGTAGTGATTCTTCTCACCCTACCCATCCTCCCACTCCAATTTGCTTGCAGTTTCCTCCGTCATTTTCTCCCTAAACTTCCCTGAGACTTCAGTCTCTCCACGTTTTCTGACCATCTTCCCCTGGACTAAAACAGTGAGCTCCCTCCCTATTCCACCATCTTGGTGCCTCTCCTTTTTTTCTAAATCTAGGTGTTTAAAAATTTTCCTCTAAGCACTGCTTTAACAGTAGCTCTAAGTTTTGGTATGCTGTATTTCAATTTTCATTCCTCTCGAACTATTTTGTAATTTTCCTTGTGATTTTTTTTTTCTTTGGTAGATTATTTAGGAGTGTATTAATTTCTGTATGTTTGTTAATTTCTCATTTCATATTTAGTTGATTTTTAGTTTAATTCCAGTGTAGCCAAAGAGCATGCTTTGTGTAACTTCAGTCTTTAAATTTATTGAAGTTAGTTTTGTGGTTTTGTATATCCCAGAGAATGTTTCATGTGAACCTAAGAAGGTTATGTATTCTGTTATTAGTCAGAATGTTCTAGAGATATTAGGTCTAGTTGATTTATAGTGCCATTGGATAAGAACGTTTTGTTATACTTTTTATCCTATGTTAGTCTCACTCTGTGATATTCTTTCCTGGAGAAGGGTGATGGAAAGATCTATGACAAAGTTTTTTTGCTTGGTTTGTCTGCACATATCCAGCTTAGAAATGGTGAATGCCTTGACAGGAATAGTACACAGAATCCTGGGCTAACTTTACAGTTCACTGTATCTGGCCCCAAGGGCTGACTCCCTTTGGAGTCCAGAGCTCAGTTTTAGTCTTCTGCTCACACTGCCAGGGCCAGTTCTAGGCAGCCACCGTCTGCTTAGCCCACAGGCCTCACTTAGAGAATTGACAAACACCAGTAGCAGTGATGGTAGCTTCACCTTGTGATCCCCTTCTCCCTGGGATCTTGGCCCTCTCGTCCTGCTTGCTTTAGTTGCTCTTCACTGCTTTAAAAACAGTTGGGAGTTTTTATTTGTTTTTGCTTCCTTGTACTCAGCTTTCATGTTTGTTCTCAGCAGGAGAGTTCAGCCTCATCCAGGCTTTCCCTTTCACAGCTGGAAGTATAAGTCCTGCTCTCAAGAGTCTTTACAGCCTGTCTGGGGTATATGATGTTAATTGCCCCTTGTTTTCTTTCTCCAGGATGCAGTGTCAACCTTGCTTGCAAGAACATCAGCTGAGCTATTGGCTGTAGAACAAGAATTAGCACAAGAAGAGGAGGAGGAACCAGAGCAGGGGGGTCCAGATGGCGACTGGTAAAACCATCCTTTCCTTTTGCTGTAGGGAACTTAAAGAGAATGTGTTTAGTTTCTCATAAGAAATTTCTAGAGACTCCTTTATGGAAGCAACGCATCTGTAGTGAGCTGTAGCCGAGGGAAGGTCTGTGCTTGGTCACCGGACAGTTGAAGAAGGTAATGACAAGGGACAAATGTAGCACATTAGCCACAATTTTTCATGCTGTTTTCTGAGCTTTTTTTTTTAAATCCAAGCTATTAATTTTGAAAGATATAGTGGCTTTACTGTAGAGTTATAGGTGAATTAAAAGCTGACTATTTAAACCTCTAGAAGTACATTTGGGCTTTGGCAAGACAAAGCAGATATTTAGAAAGCAGCTTCTGAACACTCCTTCATTTGTTACCAGTTTTACTTTTTTCCTTTTCTTCTCTTTATCCATACTGTGTCCTTTTGAGAGAAACAGGGGGTGTGGGTGGGTTATTACAGCTTTTGTCCGGAGCTGTCATTCCTGGGTTGCAATCTGTTCTCTAAAAAAAATTTTAGTGAGTACCTCTGTTTTTTTAAGTATAATGTAAAACCACTTAGGTTGATTTTTTTAAATATATTTAATTTCTTCTATTAGGTTTGTTGAACTACTGTTAGCACACATTTGCACCTACATATATAGAATGCTTTTGTGTATATGTATCTACATAACATGGTTTTAAAACTCAGAGTGACAGGGTACATCATAGACAGTACTCATGGATATTCAAAGGAAGACCTGCTGGAGTGATGTAGAAAGGTGCAGAGAGACCTTGTGCTTACCAGAAGTCCTTTTAGTGAATAGAAGGCAGAGCCCTGGGGAACAGGTAGCATGATTATGAGTTCATTATAGCATCTGGAAGTGTTGCATTTTCCTCAGGTGTGTAAAATACGGTTTGTTTCACACATACGTAAATAAAAGAACTTATAACTCAGAGTAGTGGTCGTTGGTTCCCCCTGGTTTTCATTGCACGGCCAGAAATTTAAAAATTAATCTGCCATTTTGTCATTGTGTTGCCACTTGCCGTTAGATTTTGATGCTTAAGTGTCAACTGGCAAAATGTTCTTCTAAGAAGGTGAAGCTCAGCAAAGCTTGGAAAGCTGGAAGCAAGCTGGAACTCCTGCCTGGCGTGTCTTTGAGACTGCGCTTGTGCTCCGGAGCGGCTGTGACGCCGCCCAGCGGTGCCAGGGTCGGGTTAACCGTGAGGTGGTGTGGCCGTCTGGCGTCAGTGTAGTGGTCAGACGCCCCGTACGCCATGCTGGTCTGCAGGCATGGTCAGGAACAGACATTTTAATCCTTCTGTCTTCATTCACTCTGACCTGCTTGGAACTCTCTTCTGTTGTCTGACTGCTTTCATGATTAACCAGCAACTGGTAATGCACTGTTACGCAGTGAGTGCCAATATATTTTACTGCTGGGATTAAATTTTGTGTGTGAGTTTTAGCATATTTGCATTTTAATATCTGGGAATTAGGTCCTGTTTCCCAAGTTTAACTTGTAGTACCATGCTATGGTGGTTTTACCACAGATTGCTAGAGAGTAAAGTGAAAATTTTATTTTTTTGAGATCCGTAGTTAAACGTTCCAGTCAAAAAAATGGCTCACGCTGTTTCCCAGAAAGTGGGTGCGCATGCCCAGGTTGCACTCCTCGGTGAGCATGGGTGCTCCACTTACAGTGTGTTTTATTTGTCTCACCCTAGGCTAACGCTGCTGAGAGTGGCCGCCGCCGACATTGTGGCTGAAGATGAGGCTGCAGTTAAGTTGCTGGAGGGCAGTAGCTGCACCCCAGACTCCAGCTCACGAGCTCACGTTCCGGAGATGAGTGAAGGCGGCAGTAGGAGAGGAAGCGAGAGTGCCAAAGACCCTGGGAGTCAGCCGCCGATGGGGACGCCCACGCTGGTGGGTGCTCAGCCTCACAGGCACCAGCTAGATTCCTCAGATGCTCCTGTATCTCCTCAGGTGCAACTCCACGGCAGGATTTTGTACCAGAAGCTGCTGGTGAAACACGTTGGTGGAAATAGGCTCTGAAAAGCATTGTAGATGCTTTGACTTTTTTTAATGTGCCAAAATACTGATTTTTCCACGAATATTTGATGTAAGAAAAGAAGCAGTGCTAGCTCCTTTTGATCTCTGTGTTTTGTGAATACTGATTTTGAAGTATTCTCTGAATTTCTTGGCTAAAAGGGTGACTGAATTCTATCAAGTTTCAGATATGATGTAATTTATTTTGATTGCAAACACAGGTAGATATTTAGTTGATCTTGGTCAGATAGTGTTCTGACTGAAGTCTGTGGAAAGTGGCAGTTGACTCAGTTCGAGGAGAGGTCCCAACCAAGCTATTGAATAGGTAGCTTCACTGGTCCCCTAGTGGGGAAAATCATTTTTACACTTTGAGGATCCCGCCACTCTTGGAATGCTGGTAATAAAATTTAGAAAATGCCTGTTTATTTGTGAGGAAATAATACACCCTGTCCAAGTGTGTCCTTCCACAAAGGCATAGGCTCATTAAGTGAGTTTCGGAATCCAGGTAAAACTAGCAGTAAACATATGCCTATGCCTCCCTCATTTGTATTTTGAGAAACTTCCATTTTTGTTTAAATTTTAGTTTTGTTACATTCCCAAAGATCCAGTGAAGAATCCAAATTCAGCTGCACGACACTTCTTCCATTCATATATGTTTAACTGCATGTTCTATTTAAATTTACACTATGTAGTTCGTCCTGTCTTTAATCATTTATTCTGGGGAAAAAAAATCTGATTAGAAAGCTGAGTAGTGTTTAACGATGATACATTCCCAGACAGGATTAGTTGTGGAGCCTCTTCAGTCCCAGCCTTCGTGTTGAAGCCTGGCCTGTTAGAGACGTTTCTGCTGTCGTGGGCAACCTCGTTGGGCAGCCTGCCAAGAGCTCTCAGTAGAAAACCTTCCTTCCCAGTTGCCCTTCCCAAGTTGCACGCGTGCCCTGCTCTCCGGAGCAGCCACCCAGCCAGAGGAGTCCCTGTGGTACTCTTAGGTAGGCTTTTCTTACTTAGAAGACCTGCTGACTTCTCTTGCAGGTTGATAAGGAGACGAACACAGATGAAGCAGTTAGCGGGGGAGTGGCGGTTCGGCCCAAAGAGCGAAGTGGCCTGAGCCCGGGCCGGCCACCGCTGGCACGGAGCGGCATGATCGTACGCTCACAGACCTTCTCGCCGGGCCAGCGGAGCCAGTACGTGTGCAGGGTAAGCTGCAGGGGCGTCTTCCCCTCTGCCACAGATGCTGCGGGAGAATCTGCGTCGTCGCTGCAAGCACGCTTGGCTAGAAATGCTCCACAGTGGGCATCGTCCCGCGGCTGCGATTGTGTGTAGTTTGTTCTGGCGCCACAGCTAGCGTCTCTCGTTAGTTCTAACATGACTTATCTGCAAGTGAGTGGCGTTTAAGGGTCTTGCTACCAGATGTATTTAGACTTAAGTCTTTAGAAACAAAGTGACTTTGAGATAGGTGTTTTGTACATATCTGCTGTGTTTCATGCATGCCTCAAATCATGTTAGTCTTTCAGAGCTGAAAACCAGGAGATGGGTTTTAGAGCAAAAGTCATCTTTTTTTTTTTTCTTTTTTAAGATTTATTTATTTATCTGAGAGGCAAAGTTAGAGAGAGAGACAGAGACAGAGATCTTCTATCTGCTGTTTCATCCCCAAGTGGCCACAATAGCCAGAGCTGGGCAGATCCAAAGCAGGAACCAGGAGCTTCTTCTGGGTCTCTCACATAGGTTCAGTGGCTCAAAGACTTTGGCTGTCTCAGTTGCTTTCTCAGGCATATTAGCAGGGAGCTGGATTGGAAGTGGAGTAGCCTGAACACAAACTGGCACCCATGTGGGATGCCAACACCACAGACATAGGCTTAACCTATTACAGCACAGTGCCAGACCCCAAAAGTCATCTCTTAATAATGTCCGTAGATATAAAATCAGATCCATAGTTCTGTGACAGAAATTCTGGGATTTATGTCAGTTTACCAAATTTTACCTTCAGAATTATTTGTGATTTATAATAAGACAGATTCATCATTTTTTAAAGGTTTATTTATTTGAAACACAGAGTTACAGAGAGAGGGAGAAACTGAGAGACAGGTCTTCCATCCACTGGTTAACTCCCCAAATGGCCACAACGGCCAGGGCTGGGCCAGGCTGAAGTCAGGAGTCAGGAGCTTCCTCCCAGTCCCCCCATGCAGGTGCAGGAGCTCAGGGACCTGGGCCATCTTCTGTTGCTTTCCCAGGTGTACCAGCAGAGAGCTGGATTGGAATTGGAGCAGCCCAAACAGGAACCCATGTGGGATGCTGGCATCACAGGCAGCAGCTTTACCCAGTGTTGCACAATGCTGGCCTCAGATATAATATTATAAATTGATTAGAAAGGCTATTAAAATTAAAAGTTAACAAATGTTGTATTAGTCTGCTCTGCAGCACTTTCATCAAGAAACACAGACCCAGAGCCCTGCCCTTGCAGAACTTTGGTTCTTGGCGAGCTCTGCAGGTGATAAACAGGGATTACTGTGAATAAGCTGTGAAGTACCTTGATGGGCATCAGTGCTGTGGAGAACAGTAGAGCAAATTAAGGGGGCTGGGAGTGAGGAGTACAGTGGCGTTTATTGGTAAGATGACATTTCGGCAAAGACCTGCAGCGGGTGAGGGAGGGAGTATGATTCTTCTGTTGTAAGAGCATTCTTGATGTCACAGCCTGTGCCTTAACTCTGACCTTGAGCTCTGTACTTTACATAAACCTTTTTTTTTTTTAAAAAATGAGTATTGAGGAATGAGTGTTTGGCCTGGCAGTTAAGATGCCTGAGTCCCATGCTGAGAACCTGCCTCCAGCTCCTGGTTCCAGCTTCCTGCTGATGCAGAGTCTGGGAGGCGATGGTGATGGCTCGAGCAACTGGAATCCCTTACCCACATCCTATACCTGGATTGGAGTTCCCAGCTTCTGGCTTCAACTTTGGCTTCAGCCCAGTCCCAGCAATTGCCAGCGTTTGGGGAGTAAACCAGCAAATGGGAACTTTTAATCTTTCTCTCTCTCTCTCTCTATCACTCTCTCTCTCTCTCTGCCTCTCAAATAAGTAATTTGTTAAAACTATAAAATTGAATATAACATTTTAACTAAAAATACAAAAAATGTATGTGGGGAGCAACTCGGACTAGACTGTTACTGGAATTAAGACTTATTCTATGCATCTGCTCTCCCACAATATGGCTGAGAAGGGAGAAACAGCTTCTACACAGCTGCCTCCAGTTCAACCAACAAACTGTAGGACCTCCTGATTGGAGGAGAGCAGCGTACTCGGCGTGTGGGTAGCAGAGTTGGGATTGGTGGAAGAGGACTATAAAGGAGGAGAGAGACAACATGCACCAGGAACATCTATCTGAAGGAACACCTGAGCAGCCCCCGAGAGAGCCGGCCGGTGGTGTGCCGCTCCCCCGCGGAAGTGGGGAAAGTGGCTAGGGGGAACCGCCCTTCCACGGAGGTGGAAGGGTTGGTAGCCAACCCGGGAAGAACCAGCAGCAAACCCGGGGAGGGCCGAGCAGACAAAAGAACAACGCAGGGTCCTGTGTCGTTCCTCCACGAAGACGGGGAGCGACAATGTATAATTTCCTTAACATATGACTTTTATTAACTGCAACCAAAAGTAAGTCATTTAAATTGGTTAGCAAAATTAAATTTTTTAAAAGGTTGATTTATTTATTTGGAAGTCAGTGTTACAAAGAGACAGAGAGAGACAGACAGAATCTTCCATCTGCCAGTCGATTCCCCAGATGGCCACAATGGCCAGGGCCAGGCCAGGCCAAAGCCAGAAGCCAAGAGCTTCACCCAGGTCTCCCAAGGGTGCAGGGGTCCAAGCACTTGGGCCGTCTTCCACTGCTTTTCCCAGGCCATAGCAGAGAGCGGGATCGGAAGTGGAGCAGCCAGGACTTGAACCAGCACCCACATGGGATGGTGGCACTGCAGGACATGCTTTATTCACAATGTCACAAATTAAGTTATTTTCAAAAACCATAGAACAGGGAAAAACTTGTTTGGGAAGGATTTCCTTAAAAAAATTCATATTATCACTACCTGCTATATTTGATGAGCTTCTCAATTCTGTAACATCAAATGGCACTATCTGTTACACAGTGATTTTTTTTTTTTTATCCTTTGTTTCCAGTTAAATCGAAGTGACAGTGACAGTTCAACGCTGGCTAAAAAATCCCTCTTTGTGAGAAACTCCACTGAACGGCGCAGTTTGAGGGTCAAAAGGGTACGTACACATCCTACTCTCCTAAAATCACGCACTGCTGAGCGCAGATTCCAGAACCGCTCAGTGCCGGGTCTGCACGTTCCTGGGCTGTTGAATGAAGCCGCTGTGACTAGAGACGTAGATGTTGAGTCAGTGACGGAGACAGAGGATGCACTTGAGGGCCTGCGTTCAGCACTGGTTTGGAACCTGCACTGGTTCAGGTGAAGTGTAGTTTGCAGGATCTCTGGAGCGGAGCTTGCTGAGCCCAGGCTGCGCACACGACGGCTGCTTTGTCTCCACGGTGCACCTGGCTCTCGAGTCACGGCAAGAGTCTAAAACCTGGTACCTTTCCTGAAGAACATCCTGGTAATGGAGTAAGCTATAGTTTATAACTTGCACCAACGGCTATATTAAGGAAGTTAGAGTTAATGTGGATGGGATAGGTCTGCGCAGATATTCCTGGAGGCCAGAGGTCTCTGGGTGAGTATTAAGGATACATCTGAGAGAATTTTAAATAAATTCAAAGATCATCCTGGTCAAGTCGTTCAAAACTTCCTGACAGCTGAGATGCTAACAACAAGTTTGCTTAGTATTTCCATTTTGGCTTAAGACGGCTTGCTGAGCGCCATCAGTGACTCGGCCGCACCTTCGAGAGTGGGCTGTGAAGAGTGGGCTGGGCCAGACAGCAGTGAGCTCATCTGGGTGACAGAGCCTAAGAGGCTCCTTGGGGGAGATCCTGGGCCTCCACACCCAAGTACAATTGCAGACACCGGAAGGAGGACACTGAGGGGCGTGGGGCGGGCAGGCTAGGCCGGAGCTTCAGCACTGTGGACGGGAAGGCGGGCGCAAAGCCTGGGAAGTAAGGCCGTGCTCTCCACTGGGGCTGCTCTGGGCTCATGCTTTTGCGCTGCATGGCCAGACAACATCCAGTTCCCGCTCATTCACTTCCCACTTAATTGCAGGTAATAAAAACGGGTTTCTTTTTTCTAAAGGCAAATTGTTCCGTAGCCCTCAGCATTTTCAGGAGGTTCTTTGGCATCCGTTGTTGAGACGACCAAGCATCATGCTTGAGAATACCCATCCCTCTTGAGTGAAAACTCCTCTTGGCCCCTCTCGTCGCCACTTCCTTCTTCAGCAGCACAGTGTGGAGAAGCCTTAGCCAGAGTGCCGAGGAAGGGGGTAGACTTGGCAAACAGGCGGGTCACCGATGAACTGAATTGTCAGCGCGACTTGAACCAGGCAGAGGGGAATCTGGAGCCATTGTGCAGGAGATGGTTTTCAAAGTAAAGAGACATGGGTGCAGAATGGCATTCTGGCTTAGGAATTAGAGCATGAAACAGCTACGGTGGGGCAAGAGCGCAGGAGCATCTGTAAAGATCAGAGCAAGGTTTACCGACAAGAAAAGCCAAGTGCCAGACGTTGAGCATCATGTTAGAGGGGTCGTCACTGGCGCAGGAGCCAACTGTGCCTGCCCTTTGCCGACTTAATGGCGTCACGTTGATCGCTTAGAAGACAGTGATGGTAGTGTTCACACCACAGAAACTGGCAGAGCCCTGCAGATCAGTGCTCTCGTCTTCTCCCACAGAGAGCCAGTTGTTAAACATTTATCATCAGACCACGGCACCTTGGAGCCCTTGGAAAAACTTCATGTGTGTGACAACTAGGAGAGATTTCTGATTCTGAAAAATGAGTCATGCAGTCAAAGGAAACAAACACACAGATGATTCCTGCTCTGTGATAGATGTCATTTGCTAGAGAGGGCAGAGGTTGACTAGAGGAAACCTCGTAATAAGAATGTTCTAGAAGCCCAGCCCCTAAATCTTTAGTGAGCATGTAATAGATATATTGAGTAAGGAAAAGGAGGAATGGGTGGACAGGAGAAGCTGTTTGTCATGAGTGCAGGCTGTAAAATAAGGACAGATGGGCCCTCTCGTATCCCCCTGTCATGAGCACTGCCATCGTTCCAGATCTTCCAAGTAGAGGGCCTGTCAGGTTGGATTCCCTCCCCTCTTCTGTCAAACAGTAGCATATCTTGTGGTAATCTCTTGTTTTCCAACCCCATAGCCAGCAGTCTACACAAGAAAACACCCTCTTTGTTCCCTTCTGCCTGTGAAGCCCTGCTCATCCTCATTCATACTGTGGTTGCAACCCAGCCCTGACTTCCTGTGGTCCTGGTGGTACCAGTTCCATTTCCTGCCACTCAAAGCCCTCAGAGCAGAGGCTGAGAGCATGTCTTGTCTTCCTACTCTCTTGCCTACAAGTCCCTAGAAGGCGTTTCTTCACGTACGGTCAGCAATTCTTGCTTGTTGAGTGGATAAGATTGGCCCTGGGAGGAACAGTGGTGATTCAGGGGTGAAAGTGCATTGCACACAGTGGGAAGCCAGGAGGGGGTTGGAAATGGGACCCATGCTGGGCAGCTGTGTGGGGGCCGAGACAGAGGTTTGGGCCGTGGGCGCAGTTACATTCCTGAAGTGGAAGAGAAGATAGAAGTTTCTCATCAGCTGCTTGTGTTTTCCGAAGTGCAGCTTTCAGTACATCAGTCAGACTACCCTGGGCTACGCCGCAGGAACAACTTGGAAATCTCTGAGGCCTCAAAAGGTGCAGGTGCATTTCCTGCTTGACTGTCAGCAGCCTCTGCCCCTCATTCTCCCAGGAGGCCCGAGTGGAGGGAGCCTCCACCCGGGGTTCTCTGTTGTCCGGCTTGCGAGCTTGCAGGGGGCAGAAGTGTGCACTTTTGCACACTTTGGCTTTGACAGGCTGTGAGAAGTACCCATCCCTCCCACTCAGTCTTTCACTGGCCCGAGCCAGTCCCTTGGCCAGTTCTGCCCATGCATCCAGAGAATGAGGGAGTGCCATCCTGCCATGCTGCAGGGAGGTGGGACAGCAGAGTGGTGACTGCCCGTGCCGTTGTCTTGTTTGTTCCCGCTGCAGACGGTGTGCCAGACAGCCCTTCGAAGAGCGGCGCAGGAGTGCCCCGTGCGCACATCCCTAGACCTAGAACTGGATCTGCAGGCTGGATCTGCAGGCATCTCTGACCCGCCAGAGTCGCCTCAATGACGAGCTGCAGGCCCTCCGGGGCCTGCGGCAGAAGCTGGAAGAACTGAAAGCTCAGGGAGAGACAGAGCTGCCGCCGGCCGTGCTGGAGGACGAGCGGTTCCAGAAGCTCCTGAAGCAGGCTGAGAAGCAGGTACAGATCTCGGGGGTCTCGCGGCTGCGAGGCTTACGCTGACTTCACCTCTTTAAGCCTGCCGGGAGGAAGGTGCCCAGTGGGAGCCGGCTCCAAAGACTGCAAACCTTTGCTAGAGCTCGCGGCACGTCCTCGTGCATGGTCACGGGCTTTCTAAAACCCAGAATGTTGCCGGCACTGCCGCCCAGCGAGGGTGCCCTCTCGCCCACCCTTTGGCGGCCACTTGGTAGACAGCAGGGCGCAGGGAAAGTGGTTGTGCTGATTTCCCTCTCTCTTTTTTTTCTGTCTCACCATGAGATTTGGCACATAAGTGCGGTATTAATTTCTAATGTAAATTATACATTTTGCATGAATTTTCTACAAATAGCTCTTTAAAATTCATTAGCCACATCAGTTGTAAATACTTTGCTGTTTTTTGAAGGTTTGTTTATTTGTCTGTTTATTTATTTATTTAAAGGCCAGAGTGACAGAGAGGTGGAGAGACAGAGATCGAAGTTGAGAAAGCTTCCATCTACTGGTTCACTCCCCAAATGACCACAGCAGCCATGACTGAGTCAGGCAGAAGCCAGGAGCCAGGACTCCATCCTGGTCTCCCCCACACGTGGCAGGGGCTCAAGTGCTTGGACCATCTCTCAGGGCCTTCCTGGGCACATCAGCAGAAAGCTGTACTGGATGCAGAGTAGCTAGGACTCAAACTAGTACTCCAGTATAGAATGCCAGTGTCACAGCTGTGCCACAACGCTGGCCACCATTTCTAATTTTCATGCTCAGAAATTTTCACTTTTTCTTGCCTTTAAGAAAGATTTCTGGGGCCAGCACTAATGGCATAATGGGTAAGGCTACTGCCTACAGCGCCAGCATTCCCATATGGGTGCCAATTGGAGCCCCAGATGTTCCACTTCCAAGCCAGCTACCTGCTGGTGTCCTGGGAAAGCAGCAGAGGATGGCCCAAGTGTCTGGGCCCTTGTTACCCTTATGGGAGATATGAAAGAAGCTCCTGGCTATTGGCTTCAGATAAGCCCAGCTCTTGATGTTATGGCTTTGGGGGAGTGAACCAGCAGATGGAAGATCTCTTTCTCTGTCTTTCTCTAACAATGCCTTTCAAATAAACAAATAAATCTTTAAACAAAGAAAGATTTCACTTCACTTATTGGCTGTCTCTCTTGCCTTTCACCTTAATAGCTATACAAATAAGGTAAAACCACGGATTTGAAAATAGTTTAAGGGACTTTGCCTCCTAAATATTATTAAAATTTTCAAAAAATCTGCATACACATGAAATTAATTTACTGTCTCAAGATTAGAGCTTATATTCTGATAAACAAGTATTTGTTCACATTCATATGTAGTATACAAATAGAATCTTCCTAATTGCTGCAATATTAAAAGTGTTACTGTATCTTTTTTTTCTTCTTTTGTAAATTTTTACTTGATTATTTGAGAGACAGACAGAGGGAGAGCTGCCATCTGCTGGTTCACTTCCCAAATGCCTGTAATAGCCAGAACTGGGCTGGGCTGGAGCCAGGAACCAGGAACTCAATCCAGCGGACAGGCGACAACGATCTAACCATTTGAGCCATCACTTGCTCTCTTCCAGGGTTTGCATTAGCAGGAATCCAGAAGACTGAAACTCAAATCCAGACTCTCCAATATGAGATGCAGGCATCTCAACTGGTATCTAAACCTACTTAGGCCAACCACCAGTCCCCATTATTTTGCTTCAGCCCCTTTGGATGAGAACTGGAATGGACACTTCCTTACACTAAAAGAGAATGAACTTTTTTTCCCCCAGAGTTATTTTTTTAGTTGTGTAGTGCATGGTGCTATAGGGGAAGTTTAGATCATTTCTCAGACTAGCACTACCAGTCCTAGAGGGAACTTGAAAACTTAAATGAGTTTTAGGAATCAAACTGATACCAGTAATTTCTAAAGAAACTTCAAGTAACAAAATGAATCTGGCAATGGGTTTTTGGCTTAGTGATTGAAACATCACTTGGGACACCAGCATCCTATATCAGAGTACCTGGATCTGAGTCCCAGGTCTGCTCCCAATTCCAGCCTCCTTGATAATCTGCCCCCTGGGAGGCAGCAGTGATAGCTCCGATAGTTGGCTCCCTGCCACCCATGCGGGAGACACGCATTGCCATGGCTGCCGCAGGTTATTTGGGAAGTAAACCAGCAGGTAGGAAGTCTCTTTCTTTCCATCTCCGCAAACCACCTCCATGCTTCCATGTGTCTGCCTTTCAAATAAATTGTTAAACAGTAATAATAAGACCCATCTGCATTGCCTGTGCTCTCTCCCACCTGCTAGGGCCTCAGTGAATGTTTGGTCGTGGGGAGTCAGGTTGTAGGCCCTATGTTGACTTCTGGTGAGCAGCAGGGTAACTGGGCACTGCTGTGGTGGAGGTGATGAGTCCGACACATCAGCTCCTCAAGACAGGTGGCTCACTGGGGAAGTCAGGGAAGGGCCCACAGAGAAGTTAGTGTTCACACTGGCTGTGAAAGCAGGAGGTGAAGAACTTCATGCCTCAGGGGAGGGGAGACTCAGCAGATGGAGACCACTGCACTGTGAGGGCGCAGAGGGCCTCTGGACAAGCGCTCACTGGGGGATGGCACCCGCAGTAGGCTCTCTCTAAGATGGAAGGTTGTGTTAGTAGCTGAAGTATAACCTCAGTAATAGGAATTATTTTCACCGTCTTGGGGCTTTATTTCAACATTATCAATAACTTCAAAGTCGTGGATGACTGCACCCAACTTTAATGTCTGCAGAAGCATCGTAGTCTTTGATCTTTATGAGCCAAAGGTTTTCAAAGCTGAATTGGTGTCTTAGAACTGCAGATATCAACAGAACTTTGCATCTTTGGGCTTTTTGTTGCTTGTTTCTAGTCATGATGTGAAATTTAGATCTTTCAATACCAATCATTATAAAATCTTCGGGATTGTTTTTTTACTTAATACCATGTCATAATGCTAATAAGATTCATCCAGAAATTATTTATTGCTGCACTTTGTTTTGATTGTTATATAATATCCATGAAGTAGAGAGAAGCTCGATAAAGCAAGAACTTCTTTGAAAAAAACTTGTTAAAAAAATGACAAATCTCTGGTAAGACTGATAAAGATATAATTCAAGAGTATAATAAGGGGCCAGTGCTGTGGTGTAGCAGGTAGTCACCACCTGTAGTGCTGGCATCCCATATGGGCGCCAGTTTGAGTCCTGGCTGCTCTACTTCCAATCCAGCTCTCTGCTATGGCCTGGCAAAGCAGTGGAAAATGGCCCACGGACTTGGGCCCCTGCACCTGCTTGGGAAACCCAAAGGAGGCTCCTGGCTCCTGGCTTCGGGCTTTGGATTGGCTCATCCCCAGCCATTGTGACCGACTGGGGTATGAACCAGCGGGTGGAAAACTCCTGCTTCCCTCCCTCTCTCCCTCCCTCCCTCCCTCCCTCCCAACTCCCCTCCCGCCCTCTTTCCTTCCATCCCTCCTTCTCTGTCTCTGTCTCTTTCTCTTTCTCTCTCTCCCTCCCCCTCTCCCCTCCTGCCTCTGCCTTTCAAATAAATAAATAAATCTCTTTTTTTAAAGTATAATAGAGTCAGAGCTACAGGTAAATTTGAAGTTTAAAAAATAATTGAATGTCTTCAAAAATATATGCCCACAATTTGAACAAATATCTAGGGAAATATAACATACTAGAACGGATAAAAGAAAAGGAGGGAGAAAGGCCGGTGCTGTGGCGCAGCGGGTTAAAGCCCTGGACTGAAGAGCTGGCATCCCACATGGTGCTGGTTCTAGTCCTGGCTGCTCTTCTTCCAATCTAGCTCTCTGCTATGGCCTGGGATAGCAGTGGAAGATGGCCCAAGTCCTTGGGCCCCTGCACCCATGTGGGAGACCGGAAGAAGCTCCCGGCTCCTGGCTTCAGATTGGCGCAGCTCCAGCTGTTGCGGCCATCTGGGGAGTGAACCAGTGGATGGAAGACCTCTCTCTACCTCTCTCTGTAACTCTTTCAAATAAATAAAATAAAGCTTTAAAAAAAAAAAAAAAGAAAGGGAGGGAGAAAAGATTGAAAGAAATAGGAGTAGTGAGTAAAAATTTGTCCACAGAGAAGAATATAAGGTCTAGATATTTTACAGACAAATTTCACTAAACTTTTAATGAACATTTTTTAATTTTATCCAGACTTTTTCAGACACTAGAAAAAAGAGAACTCATGTGAACGTTCCTGAGACTAAAACTGGACAGAAATGTTATCAAAAAGGAAAATCAAAAGCCAGTGTCATTCATGAATATAGATACAAGAATCCTAATTAAAACATTAGTAAACAGAATCTAACAATATATTTTTAAATTGACCATGTTGAATTATCCAATGATTTTTTAATAATAAGAAAATCTGAAAAGAAAAGAAAAATCTGTTAATATATTTCAGCGGGGCTGGTGGTGTGGCCTAGCAGGTAAAGCCGCTGCTTGCAACACACGAGTGCCCGTTCATGTCCCAGATGCTCCACTTCTGATCCAGATCCCTGCTGATGGCCTGGGCAAAGCAGCAGAGGATGGCCCAAATACTTAGGTCTCTTCAGCCTGGCCCAACTGTTGCAGCCTTTTGGGGAGTGAACGGGCAGATGGAAGAACTCTCTCTCTCTCTCTTTCTGTAACTCTGCCTTGCAAATAAATGGGTATACGTATATAATCCCTTTAATAGATTAAGGAACAAAACCATTTGATCAACTCAGTAGCTGTGGGAAGTTACTGCTAAAAATCTGTGTTCATTCCTGTAAGTAAGTTAGAAAGAGACAGAAACTCCCTTCACTTAATGAGGAAAATCCTAAAGCAGATAGAATCCTAAATGAACAGACGTGAGAGTCGTTCCCTTTAGAGCCAGCCACCACGGATTCTGTCCCACTTGCCCCTCTTCCAGGCCAGCTCTCTGCTATGGCCCGGGAGTGCAGTGGAGGATGGCCCAAGTACTTGGGCCCTGCACCCCATGGGAGACCAGGAGAAGC